CCTTCGGATGTTTCTTGCTCCTGTGGGGTCGCATAGCCGACATCTACGGCAAACGCTCCATCTTCATCTTGGGAAGTGCCTTTGTAGCAGTGACGATGATTATCAACCCGTTCATACCAGATGAAATAGGATTTAATTTGTTTCGAGGCTTACAAGGACTTGTGAGTATACGGTGTAATGCCTTGAGCAGTGCGGCTGCGGCATAGCTTACGAATCGTCAGGGTGCTGCCGCCAATGTCCCTACAGCTATTGGGATTCTGGGTGTGACTTTTCCGCCTGGCAAGGCGAAGAACTATGCTTTTAGCGCATACGGTAGGTTATGTTATCTACGTCTAATTACTACTACTATGTATTTACGACTAACGTCTCGTGAAGCTGCTGGTGCGCCTCTTGGCAGCGTCTTCGGAAACCTGATTAGTGGCTTCATCGCTGCGTTTGCTAACTGGAGATGGGTATTCGGGGCTACCGGTGGACTCGCAATCGCCGTCACGCTTGCGGGTATACTATTCATACCTCCGCCGCCACAACATCTAACGAGTAAGAAATCTAGTTTCGCTTCGCTGAAGTCTGTAGATTGGATAGGGGGTGCGCTCGTCACCGTTTCGATCCTGGCATTACTGTTCGCCTTAACGGAAGGCAATATCGTTGGCTGGAATACTATCTGGATCTACATGCTAATTGTTATTTCCGTTTTGCTTCTTTGTATATTCATTGCATGGCAGTGGTACCAAGAAAAGCATATGACAAGCAAGCCGCTCATGAAGGTGTCCATGTTCAAGAACGCCCGATTTAGCGCCGCCATGGTGATCATGGCTCTATTCTTCGCTGCCTTCAACGATCTTATCGTCTCCGCCACGTTCATCTTCCAGGACTACCAGGCCCTTGGTGCGTTGCAGACAACCTATCGATTTATCCCAACCGGTGCCTCTGGTGTCATCACCGCATTCGTCGTGAGCCACCTCATCTCACGAATACCTACTTGGATGTTGCTCCTTTTCGGCAATCTAAGCATGTCTATTTCCTGCTTATTATTTTCAATACCTATTCCACCTGACACGTCTTACTTTGCGTACGGCTTTCCGGCTTTTATCCTCTCGGTAATTGGTGCTGATATTACTTGGCCAACCCTAACTTTGTTTACCTCAAAATCCTTACCCCAGGACGACCAAGCATTAGGAGGCGCACTTATCAATTCGATGGGCCAAATCGGAAGAGCGATTGGGTTAGCCATCACCACAGCCATTCAAACTGCCGTCATGGCAAGGGACAGGGGAGTTTCAGTAGAGGCCTCAGGCAAGATCTTGCCCTGGGAACCCGCATCTTTAGCTGGGCTAAGAGCCGGCATTTGGTTCAACTTTGCACTCGCACTATGCTGCGCAGTTGTTGTTACTGTGTATTTCCGCGGCACTGGCATTAAAACTACCTACATGTCTGGTAGTTAAATAAGAACGCCGGTACCTAAAGCTATTGACGCTACGTCTTCCTTGAAACATATATCTTTTAAGTTTCAAGCGGGTGCATATTTTGTTATAATCGGAGAGAAAAGAGACTTGGTACGAGCAATATCAAATACTCGCTTAGGTATCTCTAGTCTATTATCACTAAATGGTCTTTATAAGAACACTACAAGTTTCATAGTTACGTGTTGCTATCGTTAATCTGTTTCAAGCACATCTCCATAAAAGGAATACATAATGCAAAGCTTTATTTCTTGGTCCTATAGTAGGCCAACTGGCTCCACGAAGGTGAATGGAGGAATTGGAAGATCTACTAGTATATAGCCGGAGTAGAGGCAGTTATAACAACTTGCAAACCTCAGGATAACTCCATACTATCTATATTGTACCATGCCATAGCGTTGGCCCGTTTATAAATATTTTCTTACGCTGCAGTAGTAAGTGCAATGGCAGTAAGACCCAACTCCGCATAAAAAGCGTCGCTGCTGGGTTTTCTACCAAGAAATTGTTCAAGAGTCGTCATTTCGTCCTGGCTACCTCCACGCTCTAGCACGGTGTGGCGGTATCTACGGCCCTCTTTTCCATTCATTGGGTCTTTCTTGAAGACTGAATAGAACATGTCGGTGCTGTAGACCTCCGAGGATAAGTAGCCGTAGTAACCTGCGTCGTAACCTCCCATAAGATGACCGAAGGTCGCCTGTCCATTACCCCAGGTGCTATCATCAAACTTCAGTTAGTTACATAGCAACAACAGTATAACGTACAGTATAGGGGGGCAACGTACCTTGGTTCTCCCAGAGCTTCGGGGCCCTTGAGGCCAGCAATCTGGGTCCGTAGATCGTTGTATAGGGCGCTGAAATCAATTTTTTCTAGTTCTTCGTGGGTAGCAGGGGAGTGCACTGTCATATCGAAAATACCAAAGTGCAATTGCCTGAGATTGAATAGGGCGTCATTGACGTGTTTAGTTGAGATTTGCTTCTCAATCAATTCGTCGGGGATCTTTTCTCCGGTTTCATAGTGATTCGAGAGGGCCTTGAGCTGACTAGGCGTCCAGCACCAATTCTCAAGCATCTGACTCGGAGCTTCAACGAAGTCTCTAACTGTCGCCGTTCCATGGAATCTACTATACGTAGTTCGGCCAGATAAATCGTGAATACCATGTCCAAGTTCGTGGAAAAGGGTAACCACTTCATCGTGCTTTAGGAGAGAGGGCTTCTTCTCCGTCGGCTTAGAGAAGTTGCACACAAGGGCAGTAGCAGGATACCTACGCGTTCCGTCCTTCTTCCGGAAACCGGGTTGCAAATTGAAGTTGGCAGCATGACCATACTTGCCCTGCCGTGGGTGCAGATCGAGATAGAGATAGCCAACAAAACCATCGCCCTCGGAGCTGTCGTCCCAGACGGAGAAGAGGATGACATCCTCATGCCAGGCAATGTCTTCGGCTTTACCGGTCGGCGATAACCTCTTACGCTCGCTGGGGTCTAGTTCCACAAAAGCCAGACCAAATAACTCTTCAAAGATGTGTAACATGGCTCGAACTGTGCTTTGCAGCGGGAAATATTCCGCAATCTTGACCTCGTCAATGTTGTATTCCTGCTCTACCATCATGCGGTCGTAGAAGCGATGGTCCCAGAGGTAATAGTTTCCGTCCGGCTTCAGACCTCTCGACTCCTCGTCCTTTTTCTTCAGTTCGAGCAAATGTTTCGTTTCTTTCTCGCCACCCGGAGCGAGGCGCTTTCGAAGATCAGATAAAAAGGCGTTGACTGTAGCTGGCTCCTTGGCCATCTTGTCTTCTATGCGGAAAGCGGCATGATTGGGATAGCCTAAGAGCCGGGCACCTTCATCGCGCAATAGAACAGTCTCTTTGAAGAGAGCGACGTTTTGGTTAGTCTGTTGTGGTTTATTAGCCATGATTGTACGGGTAGAAAATTTTGGGGATGGCTGTATGGATACCTTATTCTCGTTCGCAATGAAGACCTTCTTCCTTGTTTCCGGGTTTTTAGCGAACTTTAAGGTAGGGAAAAGGTCAGGATACTTGAAGCTGAGCTTCAATTTCCCTTCGTTCTCTCCTGTTCCCTTCTCTAAACCATCGGTCACGTCAGATGGAACGCCGTCTAATTCTTCCTTGGTGAACCATAGGCCGCCGTTTTCTTCATTGAGATTCTTTTGAAACTCGATACTTATCTGACTTAAACGTTTCTTGATCTCCTTAAAGCGATCTCGCTGGGGACCTTGGGGTATTCCTAATCCATTCTGGATATAACCCTTGCGTTCTTTTTCGAGTAGCCGCAAGCTTTCAGCATCGAGATCGGGCTCTTTACTCTTCTGAGCCTGGAAGACAGCATCGACGAGTTTGAAAACATCCTCACGCATGTTACACTCAATGGAGAATTCATCCATAATCTTCTCCGCCTCGGTGGAAGCGTTGCGTAGGTCGGCGTCGCTCGAAACATATTGGTAGAAGCCGAGGATTCGATTGCTCAGCTGAGATTGATTCTCATCTTCCGCCATGGGTGCTAAGACCGAGGCAAAAGTTGCGGTTGGGGCAGACACATCGGCAACAAGCTTGTCTAGCAAAGACCTCGTGGTGTCGCAAATGGTCTGGGCATCTTTGACAATAGACTCCTTGGTGCCCGTGAAAGTCGGTGGTGCCTGGGGAGGGTTCTTGTACTTATCGGGTGCCATAGCGGCGGTCACAATTGATCGGTCTGGAGGAGTTGAACGTGTGAGGGGGAAGATAGTTGTTGAGGGAATAGTCTTTGGCCGTATCTGGTTAAGATACGAGGTAAGACGGGAAAGAGCTCGTGGGGCGGCCAGATTGTAGGCTATAGCGAGCAGGAGGATAGGTAAGGAAGCTACTAGGAAGAAAGAAGGACGGGAGTAGTTTCTAGTAGAAGTAGCTCTGCTAGAGTTCGCCAGTATGTATTCGCCAGCATGTATCACGAGGGGCTTGAGGGGCAGAGGGGTCCAATGGGGGGTCAAATATAGCAAGACCGACGCGGGGCTTTTATGTAGATGCAGGTGTCCACCTTGGATACGTGACAATGTAAGGTTGAGGGTTAAAACCGTCTGGTCTGATTGATGCGTCTAGAAAGTTGTATGGAGCTAAAAAGTATGCTGATCGTGACGAAGCCAAGACACCTGCGGGTCCCACCAACCATTCAGCCCATTTCTAGATTGCGGGGGATCACACTGTAACCTTATACCCCTAGGAACCTACCTAAGCACCTATGGGTATCGTAATAGGTACCTACATGCGCTGGAAGCCAACAAGCCTCTCATCTGCAAAGCCGAACGCAACTAATCGAAATCCGTTGTCCTGGATTGAGAAGAATTTTTATATTACCTAACGTACAGAATCGGCGAAAGGCAAAGGGGTTCCGAATGCCCACGCTACCATACGACCCCATACGACCCTATTCACCTCTCTTCCGTATCTGACTTATGACTATCGCAAGAGACCAAATAGGTCAATCCAGTTTCACATAATCCCGTCAATGAACAAACGCCATGTCGTCCTCCCCAGTCATGCCTATGATGTGATGTATTGATATCCTTCTTTTAGGAGAAGTGTCGTGGGTGAATGTAATAATTTCTACGCCTCTAAACTCCAGCTTCCATCAATGCTCGTGAGGATGAAATCATCTTAATTGGCTAGGATGGTTCGGACAAGTTCTATGCCGTATTAGTTATTGCTTTGGCTCTTTTCTCAATCATTAGTTGATTTTGAGCATCTTGTACTCACCAGTATAGTTGACTTGTCCTGAGCTGGTGTCGACGGCCTTGAGTAGCTCGTCCACCTCCTCATCCGTCATCTTTTCTCCCAGATTCGTCAAGATGTATTTGAGCTGACCAACACCGATAAAGCCAGTCATGTCCTTATCGAAAACTTGAAAGCCGCGACAGTATTCGTCAGGCTCGCCGGGGTCGCGGAAGCCACCTGGTCGGTTCAGGATTTTCGAGAAAGTCTCGAAGTCAACTACAACGATGCGTTCATATTAGCTAACTACATTCTAATTATATGCCCAACGCATCTGGCGCTCCGTTTCTAGACACTTGCACATTGCGCATGTACACAGATATCGACGTGGAAGCCTGTCAGGGTAATAGGGGTACTCACAGTCACCACCAACGTTACGCTCCAAATCTCTGATTTCGGCTAAGGTAGGGTTCTGGCCACAAGCGCGCAGGAGGTCGCCGAGGCTGTCGAGGGCAACGCGGCCGTTGCCTCGCTTGTCGAATAATGAGAAAGCCTCCTTGTAGTTGGTTGAAGCCTGAGCATCATTAGCGGCCATATCGACAATTTTTTAAGAAAAAAATCTTGGTTAATCGTAGAAAATATAAGAGTGAAGCAATTGAGATCCACCAAGGAAGTAGATAGGATGAGAGGTTGCTATTGCTTTGTTTCCCAAGAATCGAATCGCTTCGGAGAAATGATGAAAGGATCGCAAATAGTAATTCTCGGGTGCGGCGTCACTGCTGGTTACATGTTGCCAGCCGCTGCTAAAGGATTCTGCTGACTGGTCGTTTCCCATCGCGTAACACCGACACTAAGCCTGGACTTAGGGGGTTACGAGGGGCAGTAGTAAGGAAGCCCTCTGTTTATTTTCCTATAGGTATGCATATGTAGATAGTAAATCGAAGCAAACAAGAGCAACTCACCATTTTAAGATATTGAGGATTGGAATCGCAAATAGATTGGGTTAGGGACGTCGCAAAGAAGTCGGTGTTTGTGATGATATTTTCTGGAGTTGTGAGGACGATGGTTAAGGTAATAGGAAAGTTGAATAACGGAGATGAAACAATGTAATCGAATTACCCCCCTACCTTAGCGTACCTAGTCCATGCGTTGCTGGCAATTAAGTGGATCAAGTTGGGCTTTCGGATTGACGGGGCAACGCCGTAACCTAACCTTGTTTTAGTTACTCATGTACATGAGCTGGGACGATTTGTTTGGTTAAACCAGAGCGGTATGACGGGGCTAGAATTCACCGCTGAAACATTGAACCAATGAGCGCTTACCTACCACATACACATATCATTGCTATTGAATTTGTGAATGTTTGCTATCTTAATTCTTTCAATCCGTTAGGTACATGTTCACCTCAGAGAGTCCCTCCAGATATCACTTCATGTACGTAGTACGGATTATTATATTTACCAAATAAGGTACCAAATATTTTAAAAAGATTTCTTTACTTCATTCCATTGGGCATTCAATAGAATACCTAAGACTTTATCCTATAAGACAAATAGTCTATGGGGGGATAAAGACGAGAGCCGTGATAATGAAGGGAAGAAAATAGCCCGGAGATGCTATAAGACTATTTATTAGGATCCTTGTGATCATGACACTAAGGCGCCAGTGGTGCTGCCGTACAATACATCACCGGCGTCTAGCCATTAATATATAAGTACCCCAATCATTCTCAACTTCGGCTTCCCGCCACCGCTCTCCCATGGCCTTCCATTCCGGTACCGCATCGACCATATGATCCCACATGATATCAACTATATCTCCATCTCCGCCGTCCGCTCTACTTTTCGCCTCGGGGTGAGCTTCTTTCCAGCCATTGAAGCAGCTAAACGTCCTTGTATAGCCTTCTACCTCACCTAGCTTCATCTTCTTCCTCAACCAGCGGGTCTCATCTGTCCCCTCCTGGCCGGGCTCGTGTTCCAACCTGGTAACGTCCATCCAGTCTGTTTCGGGGGGTTGCACGCTACGTAGGAGATTGCGTAGGATATTACGCCCAGGCTGTTCCCAATACGGACCCATTCCTTCTACGCCCGGTGCTACTTCGCCGAACCCGTAAACGAACCGCTCCATAATTTCGGTAGCCCGTTCGGCGCCGATAAGTACGTTATCCTTATATCCCCAGAAGGCGACTGTGCCCCCGGAACGTATCACACGGGCGAGGTTCGGCCAGACTTTATCGTAGTTAAACCAATGCGCGGCTTGACCCGCAACAGCCATGTCTACGGAACCATCAGATAAGAAGTCCAGATCCTCGGCATTACCTTGACGAAACGTAATGGTAGGATCTGTCGTTGTTTGCTTTGCTTGCGTTATCATCCCTGCTGACGGGTCGATCGCAATGACTGATTTGAAATGCGGTCTAAGATGACGCGCGATAAGGCCATGGCCGCACCCAAGATCCAGTAATGTGCCGTTGGATGCGGGTAGCTTGTGATAGTTCAGCACGGTACGGAATAGTGATGGGGGGTAAGCCGGCCGAAAAGCTGCGTAGGCTTTTGCTGAAAATGTTGATCGGCTGTACTTCTGTTAGCGAGATGCCTCTTAAAAGGAAGGTCGCAACTAACGCAAATGTCGCCATCTCTTGTGCAACTCAACTAACGAGAATAAGTTGGGACTTTTAGATCTTAGTATATCTTGGTACATATGAGATATGAGGCACATTTGTTGGTATTATAGAATAGTCAGGGCAGCAGGGGTAAAGTAAGAAGAAAAGGGCAAGGATTGAGGCTAGAAGTACACTCAGCTGGGAAAATGTCAAGCTTCAGCTGCAGCTGCATTGCATTGATTTAATGAGACGACATCCCGTGGATTATACGCCATCCATCGGCTCCGATTGCGCCAAGACTTGGTATAAGTAAGCCTCGGGATATCAAACTCGAGGGTTGATAAGAGAACCGGAACACCAAGTACATCATTCATTCATATGCTTCTCAACGATTTAACTCAACATTACTATTACTCAGTTGGAAACTAGCAGACCGTTCTCATTTAACAATATCAAACAAGCGCATCCCCTTCTTAATAGACTCTCCTTCACTAGACCTACCTTATCAAACTACATTTTATTCATTGTCCATCTATTAATGCTCAAGATGACTACCGAAACTACTGTCAGAACTTTCTTCAACTCCCCTCAATTCGCCGTAGTGGGCGCGAGCACGAACCCCGCCAAGTTCGGCCATAAGGGTAAGGTCCCCCTTGCTTAACACTGCGCTATTTTATTCGTTCATCGGAGGCTCAAGTGGCCTGTTTTATGCACATGAGATACGACATAAATACAACTTCACTCTATATAAAGGCAAGTTGCTAACTTGCTCAAGTCTTCACCTGGTACCATGCACACTCGCTCCCGGTAACGCCCATCAACCCGGCGAGTGCTAGCATAGAGACGCCTTTTGGCGTGCACCCGACCGTAAAGTCACTTGCAGACCTGCCCGATCCGCAGCACACCTCGTTGTCGGTCATCACGCCAGCACCCGTGACCCTAAACGTGCTAAAGGAAGCTAAGAAGCTCGGCATCCCCGCCGTGTGGCTTCAGCCGGGCACCTGGGACGATGCGGTGCTCAGCTATGCGCGCGGTGGCGAGGAGGGAGCGGAAGAGGGTGGCTACGAGGGCGCCTTAGTCGCTGGGGACGGCGGCAGCGGCCACGGCGGCTGGTGCGTCCTCGTCGATGGTGAGCGTGGCCTCAAATCGGTAGGAAAATTGTGAGTCGATTCGTGCTGCACCTCTGTGAGTTGAGCGTCGACAAAGGCTTAAATTGCTAGGAAGAGGCGTGGGGTGGGAAAGCTTATGGGAGCGGTGTGCGCTCTAATGTGAGCACGACGACGCCTTGCACCACTATCAGTTTTCGACAGATGAATCTTCATCACTAATTAATAGAATCCAATTGCATATTTTTAAAGTTATGAATTTGCTCAACTCTCATCTCAAAATCTGCTAACTACCGGAAAAGAGAATGAGAAGCAAGATATATATATAAGCAAATCTAAGTACCTCTTAAGGGTCAGAATAAGTATGACAACTACAAGCTCATTCTGCTCATTCTTAATGAAACCACTCTACTAGCTAGGTAACTATAGAGCATCGTATCTCACCCAAGCAACTACGCAGTAGTTTGCTTACTGAAATAGTTTGTCAGGGTATTTGACTGTTTCGGAGCAGCAGCGGCTTTCTTAACCTTCTTCGGACTTTCCCCTTCAGGCTTCTTCCCGATTTCTAGGATGTCCATGAACTCTTCAAACTCTGCTATCGGAACTATACCTCCACTAGCTTCTTTATGTCCTCTTGCGAACGACTCTCCAAGTCTTTCGCGTAGGGTCGGGTTTGGCGCCCTTGCGGCGACTTCCTCCAATACTTCGATAATGTTTGGAGGCTGATCCCTTGCCCTCGCGCTTCGAGGGACTCGGCACGAGAAGTTGACCATACCCGGGAGATAGCCTTCGTTAGCTACTAGGATCACTTCCAACTTTGGCGACTGTAGGTATCCCGCCCAGCGCGTGGCTATCACTGGATGAACTTGCGCGGGCGAATTGATGCGGAAAACAGCAATCTTGGCGTCACCCGAAAACTTCGGGGCCGTACGGGTGCATCGATCTACTTCGGCGTTCACTTCAGCCCTGGCGGCAAGGAGACTCTGGTTCGTAAGGAGTTCCGCAGGCGAGCTGGCTGCTGTTAGAGCATCCCAGGCAGCGGGAACATCATAGGTTGCAGTTCGACGGGGAGCGTTAATGAGTGACACGGCGCGGTTCAGCGCCTTTTTGGTATAGGCCTTGAAGGTAGGCTTCATATCTGGAAAAGGTGGCTCCCACTTCAACGCATTGCCCAAGTCGCCATGAGTACCCATTACACATAACCAATCGCATTTTGTCTGCACTTGCTCATGCAACTCATTGCAAATGTAGTAGGTAAGTAGTGAGCTCGTAGCGACTGGAGGAGAGTTGCACGCCGTAACATGCTCTGAGCCCTTGGGAAAATCATCCTCCAATGCCCAATGATGATCTATGATCAGCGCTTTATGAGGGGCGTCTATTACTGGAGGCCAATTCATCGATCCTTGATCCAAAACAAATATATATTCGGGATTATAAGCAGCCATAGAAGCGCGCTCATCCTCTTTATGAATGCTGCTGCCTTTTTGAAGCAGATGGGCCGATATGAGATGAGGCTCTAAACCAAGTAAGACAAGAGTCTTCTGCAAAATAGCGCCTGATGTTAACCCATCTGCATCTTTATCAGGTACAATCAAGGTCTTCTTTTTTGCGGAGGCGCTACATTATAACTATTAGTTTAAGAGATAGAATGATATAAGTTACAGAACATGCCACTCTAGAATAAAATCTCGAGCACGCTCGATCTGAGCTCTAGGAGCTGGCCATACGATTTCGCCCGATTCCTCATCTCGTATCGAAGGGGTTAAATGATACTCGGGCACTTTCGGTCGAGGTTTCTTGGCTCTTGACGCGACTTTGGGTACTGCTGATGCACTGCGCTTCATCTGAATTGTTGTCGATGCTTCGGATCCGGTGAGTCGACATATTCTAGGGAGGGTGTGAATAGTAAACCGGCCAGCTATCTGTTTAGAAATACTTGCGCAACCTCTAGGTAGTAAGGAAAGTCCCAAGTGCCCTTGATATATTGACATAACTGACGTTTGCATTCATCAGGTACACCAAATGATCATTTATCCAAATTTGTTATTATCAGTTGAAGTTGTGGGTCCAATACTGAGACATGAAGAAGTCAAGTCGATATTGATGACGTCAGTGTTTACATTTCCGGTACGCAAATCATAGGGAAAATAATCGGACCAGAATTTGTAAAGTTATTAATAAAGAGGTAGTTATGTAAAAGAAATGAGGGTAGCTTTACTCTTATTAATGAATATTATTTAGCCATAACGTCATAAATTGTACCCCTAAGAGTTTAGACTCTACATATGAATTTTAGCGTTTTTTTTTTTTTTTTTTTTTTTTTTCTAATGTGTTCCCTCTGCACCTCCTTAATAGGGGCTTAAATAGGGGCTTAAGCATCTGCCTCCCTTTTTTTCTGTAGCCCTCCATTATGTGCTTAGAGCTTAAGCAAGACAGCTTCACAACGTTTCGCATATACTTTGATTCAATTACCGATTTTATTCACTAGGATCTTGACCAATTAACCTATTTTAGACGATCCCGTGTACCCAAGGTATATTTCATGTCTCCTAACAAGCTGCTGAGCTTAATGACTAAATATCTCAGAAATCACGAAGATAATGAATAGGTATATTATGCTGGTTACATACAATGGCATGGGATGACCGTTCAACAATACTGGTATGAATCACAACAGCTGAAATTCGTTGTGGTGATAATAGGGGCTGGTCTAGGGTTCTAAACGTGACTTGTTAATGGGATGGCTACCTCTTAGTGATTCGATCCTCTGCTATCAATATAGTCACCCGTCATGTACAAGTTGTTATAATGAAGTTTAAGATAAACTTAGTGAATTATGTTGAACAATACTGTTCGCGTGAATTAATCATAGTTATACCTTATTTCTATGACGAACAAACAATATGACACGACACAAATCACATCACAATTCACCCATTCTTCTATTCTGAAGCCGAGTTCTGCCCCATGGGAAAAATATATAAAGCCAGTCTCAGCAGCACCTTGGTTCAATTTATTTTCCCCAAAACCCAATCCTACATATATACCTACGACAACAAACCAAACATCACAAGTACGAGATAACAACCCATTTCTACCCTCACAAATAGCCCACACCCTAAGTCTTTACCATCATGTGCAACCTGGTCGACCATATGTGCAGATCATGCAGAGCCCTTGTTTGGGGACCGGAATATGTTGAGACGTGCGCCGACTGGAAACGTTGTATGTCAATGCCGAAACAGAAATTCGATTCGTTTTGCGACTCGCATGAGAAAAGATAAGACAAAAAACAGCATCAGATTGTCTCCCAAGTTTTATTATTCTCGATCTCTGGATCATATTCGGCACCGCGCAGCATAAGCATAGGAGATTCCTGGAATACCTGGGGAATCGAGGTGGTGGATTGTTATGGGCGGAAGCAGATATATAGTTTACCGGAGTGTAACTGAGAATATATTTGCCTTTACCCACCTATTGGTATAACCCGTGGAGTCAGCTTTATTGAAGATGTACTACCTATGCCCTCCTCTTAACTCTTGATGTAGTAATATGTTTAAACATGAGAAAAGAGGCAAGGGGGCGTGTCAGGATTAGATGCCCTTTTCGTGAGCTAGATGGGCAATTAAAATTACTTACTATACCTAATATAAATCTTCGACTACCTAGGTAGGAGGTAAGTATCTAGCTAGTTTTCACTCCTCTTTCGAACGTTAGCTAATTCACTATCACCACTAGTCACGCCCACACATAGACTCGGCACAGCACCTCAAAACGTTGGCATGAATCATGACAGCCAAAAGACGTTGTAGCAACCACGGAGGCCAACCAAGGATCCTACACATCACTTACTAAAATACGGCCACTCAGGGGTTCAGCCTTGTATCATCTACTTAGCCACCTATTCTTTACGATAGCCTTTACAAATGACCCCAGCTATTCATATCAATTATCTTATTTGGATGAACCACTTGTATATCATGTTGTCCCTATGGAAATCAATGACGCACAACATATCGCAGGGTTTGTCTTCTGAGTGGGTGACTGAGTAGATTGTACGCCCCAATATAATATATAAAGGCGACCTCGCCCATACCTTTGCCTGGCCTCCTCATCCCCCAAAACTTAACTTTACCACCTACCTTAATTCCGAGTTCGAGCACTGCCAGAACACCAAAACTTTTCGCAACCAAAATTTTTTACAACCAAAACAAGACCGCTCTTCAGAGTCTTAACCAGCACCAGCATGCCGAAGCCAAGGCCACCACGCCCCCCGAAGCCACCACGCCCCCCGAGGCCAAATCCGAATCCCAAGCCGATACCCAAGCCAATCCACTGAGGGGAATCACAATCGGGAGGATCAAGGTCAGAACAACATGTCGCCTCTTAGGCTTTGAGGCTGTTGGTCTGGATCACGAGGGGCATCAGAAGATTTCTGAATTGCCTAGGGTATTTCAGTAGGAGGTCATTATGGGCGGGAACAGATAGGTAGCTTACTAGGCGGCCTCTGACAATATACGTACTTCTGCTTACCTATAACTATTGACGCAACCCGTAGAGTCAGCTACATTAGAGTGTCATTCCGTGCTTTCCCCTTAATTATTCCTATGTCATGAGGCTACCTACACGGATGAGATGGAACACCCGGGGTCCCGGGAACGCCCTCCATATTCCGGGTTAACTAACGCTTAGGTGCGAAAAGAGGAGATATTCTTACAAACACCGGCTTTCGCGGCGTAGATAATAACGGAGTACAAGCAGCTCCATGCCAGCACCACCAACAGATCCATCAACAAAAATGCCAATGAGGTGATTATAAAGGTCCGCTTTATCTTATTGTATTGCTGTCATACTTGTTAACGCCTCAGGTAAAGGCGCGATGCAACGCTGGGCAGTTATAAAACCCGGGTGGGTAGATACTCGAGCCAAGTCCTATTACTCTATCTTCAAACCACTTACCTACGTTGTCGTAGAATATGAAGCTCGCATAAATTGATTTGGCCACCAGACATCCAGACCTAACTTCCACGCAACATTTAACACCCAATCCGATTCCCTCAGGAACTGCCTGCCGACCAAAATAACATCCGCCATGGGCACTTTACCGTTCTTTGCGTCAGTCATCTCTTTCGCTGTCCTAGCCTCCTCATCGATAGCACTCTTGAGCTGCACGCTAGCGTCAGCATTCTCAACGATGTCTCTTGCCTGTTCTGCTTCGGTAATTAGGCCAACAGCACCGATTAGAAGTTTCAAACCATCAGCATTCACGGCGTTTCTGATACGTCCGGCGATCTTGACGTGACAGTTCTTGGTGTTAACTCCGTCAATACGTTGGCCGGGATTGTTGCCACCGCTACTAACGTCTAGCAGGTCAACGCCTAGAGCGGGAAGTTGTCTCGCTACCTCGATCGTTGATTCAACGTCCCACGACCCAAGTTCTTTACCCAAGTCGGTATCTTCTAGAAATTCGGTTGCTGACATGCGGAGGAAGAGCGGCATACTTGTTGGGATAGCACGCCTGATAGCTTCGATGACTTCAAAAAGAAGTCTTGTCCTATTTTCAAAACTACCGCCGTATTCATTCGTTCTTCGGTTAGATATTGGAGACAGGAATTGGTGTAGAAGATACCCATGTGCAGCATGGATCTCTATCACGTCAACTCCAGCCTTCACACTCCTCTCTGCTGCCTTCGCAAAATCTTGGACGATCTCTTTAATTTCTTGCGTTGTCAGGGCTTTGGGAGGCCAGAACCGGCTCTGCTCGCTATCAAAAAAGCCATCCCAGGTTTGGCTTTCACCGCCGGAAGGACCCTTCACGTCATTTGGCCAACCGCCGATATCTTTGTCAGCCCTTTTGGATTTTCTACCGAGAACCGTAGATACCCAAGGCGCGGCAGTACTACTCTTGCGACCAGCATGCGCTAGTTGTATGCCTGTAAGGGCACCTTGAGATCTAACAAAGTCGGCAACTCGTCTCAAGCCTTTAATTTGCGCATCATCCCACAAGCCGGGGCAATTTGGCGAAATTCTCCCATTAGGTTGCACGCTTGTAGCTTCAACGAAAACGAGAGCTGCTCCTTTGATGGCATAATGGCCTAGTGTTACAACATGCCAATCTGTTAAAGAACCAATTTCAGGTCCAGATGGTGCTGCAGAGTATTGGCACATGGGCGAAACCGTGATACGGTTGCGAAGAGTGACTCCCCGGATTTGAAGTGGTCTGAATAAGGTGGGTGTCTTTGAGGAGAGCTCGTTTGGAGTGCCGGGCGAGTGTAGATGTTGCGGCGTAAAGTAAGGAATACCCGGGACGGGGGTATTAAGATTAGATAGAGACATTGTGGTAATGGTAATCAATTAATTTGTTTCCATGCTTGATAAATGAAGTCTAGTGAAAGGAGAAACACTGAGGGCTTCGTTTTTCTCGAAGGACGAAGATGTACGGCCATATTTATAAAAGAAACGGGTGCTTTATACATACTTGTATTGAAACCAGAACACCAATGTCACCAACAAATATTACAAAAGGTATCCTAGATAACATCTATGAAACAGTCTTCTTCGTGCTTTCGTTGACTTCTCGAAGGGGAACGAGGTAGTACGAAGCGGGACGGAGCGGGACCGTCGGGTCGGGTGGGGCTCGACTTCGTTTATTGCCTCAAAGGGAACGATCAAGCAGATCCACTCTTCCCCTATTGGTCAAAACGTTGATTGCGTGCAGTTCCACAGTTCCAGCATTATGGTAACTCCCACCTCGGGTGATGGCCCGTGCACATTTAGCGAAATAGGTACCGAAGGGAAACAGTAACGCAACACCAATACCTCCTAAACTCATATTCATAGTATTTTGCTATACCGCCAATCATTATGGAAGATAGGGTAGAAGCAACTCGGGCGGCCGACAGTAGCAGTTTTGTCTTCATCACAAACGACAGACCTCCAATAGAAACCGGCTCCCCGTCGAATCAGAGGGGAAAGAAGCGTCCGCATCACAAGAGCCGCCATGGCTGTCTCACTTGCAAACGGCGAAGAGTTAAGGTTAGTAATATACTGGTTTAATATCCATCTAATTAGATAGAACGATATGTAAATAAAGGTAGATTTACATATTTGTTGGTTAACATATTGTCATATAATTCTACAGTGTGACGAGCAGTTCCCCTGTTCGAATTGTTTGAAGAGGACTGAAAGATGCCTCTACTCAACAACCGATATACACAGCAACAATGTCAACAATAGGCTGAGTCCACGCATTTCTCAACCCAGTAGTCATCCCGTTTCGGATGACACCAAGGTCAATTTACTACACTTAGAGTTATTCTATCATTTTCAAAGAGACATCATGAATACCCTCGCCTTCTCTGAAATCTGGCCACACGTTCTTCCGTGGTCATTCCAGGTGTGGCAATCTCTTCTCAACTTCTCTCCTCTCCGTCCGTTTATTATTATACATAAAGAATAGATAGGAGCTGTGTCGATTGCGCCAGCCTTACATTAACTAAGGCGGTTATAATAGGAACCCTACATCATGTGCACGATTCTCTGTCTCGCAGCAACTCATATCTCTACCCTACGGCCTCAAGTTCCTCGCTACTCTCGTGTCGCTCTCCAACTGTTAGGAAAGTCGGCCTCGCTCTTTAGAGAAAAGCTCTCTAATCCTGTTACGGCCCAGAACATCGAAGCTCTGATAGCAACTTCTGTCCTCATGCACTACATTTCGTGGAGTCATGTAGAGTTCCTCGAGGAGCAGGGCCAGTTTTCAAATTACAAAGGTCACGACGATTTGATTATGCGTCTTTCGCAGGACCCCCTCTTCCAGCTAAGCTCCGGGGTACGAGGCATACTTTCTGAGGCATACCCAATCCTCTGTGGTAGCGACAGTGTGTTCCTTTCTGCAAGTCTTTACAGTCCAAGGGCTGCGATAGAAGAAACTATCCTGCAACATGGGGACGACCCTCATAGATTTGTCGACTATTTTATGGCAATATGGGATGATCCTCACTGTCATCCTCAGCTACCTGAGAAGCGAGGAGAGACGCAAGAACAGTTGTCAGCCCCTCCGAATCTCGATATTTCCACCGATCGGGGGGAGGTGACAGACTATACTTGCACTATGGCAAAGCTCAACTATACGTGCGCAGCTTTCCAAACATGGACACACTACCCTTATAATAACAGGATGTCCCAAGAGGGACGGGACTTAGGTTTACACATAGACGTAGCTGGCACCGAGCTAGCACCGGCGTCACCGCAACCCGTCGCGACCCCCCAGCGGATGGCGTTTGAGCGCATCGCTAAGAGACTATCTCTTCTCTTCTGTCTAGCATCCATATCTACTTCTAGTGGGCACTTGTCATCCCAGAGGTTAATGCGCCTCCAGCCTGACATCGAGCGTTGTTTCTTTACCTTCCCTGTTTTGTGTAGCGTCGTCTTCCGTGAGCTCGCCCTCCAGCACGACCTCAGGGCTCTAGTCATACTCCACCACTTCTATCAAGCCGCACGTATTTTGCTTACCAGCTCGACGTCTTGGTGGGCCCGCCAAAGGAGCCACATCACTGAGTCTTTAATTCTACAAGACTTGACGTCGAGGGGGTTGCAAATGTGTATCTTGGGAGGAGCGAGAGATGGTGAGCCAAACTAATAATCACAACCCGATTACCTGCTCTGATAGGTAAAAATACCTCTACCACAGCCTCGAAGGTATATGGGTAAAATATGTAGTGTTACCTATAGTCTGTCACGGGAGGCCCTCAACAATAAATTCCATAAGCAAACGCCTAAGGTAATATCATGTTGCTGCGGCTTGTAGTCAAAGGTGTATGCCTGTTTTTCTTTTCTTTTTGACCGTGTGAGTATCCCATCTGTTTTTTTTTTTTCTTGCATAGCATAAAGATAGCGGCTCCCGACCTTACTCTGCCGATACGGATTGTTAATCAATCATCTCTAATATGACTTCCAGCATACAGTATCTGTATTTATATCTTCCCCGTCAGAGTACAAGCACGACATTGAGAGCCCTAGCTAACAGCATCTAAGTTAGCGATATGGCACTTTCTAAATATTTTAATGCGAGCTAGTCTGGATCTTCTTCTACGGAGGTTTTCTACGTATGGTATATTTGCCGGTCTTGAGCTTAGGCTAAATTATTTCGCGATCACGATTTCACTTACCCTCCCACGCTTTCCGTACCCGACGTAGTAACACGGAAGCTATATTGCACATTAGACAAGCTCATCCACCGGAAGACTTGAGCGTATTTCTGATGAACCCAAGGCGGGATAATCATTACCAGAATAAATACCACCTACCTCCAGCACTTTGGTAATGTAACTTGACATCCTTGTCTTCTAGCTGTGGAATCTCTTCCAACATCGTACCCGTATCTATTGTCAAAAGTGCTTTCTACCGAAGGGTCATTACGATATCTTAAAGTCAGCATTACTCATGATGCTATTCCAGCCCTTTGCAGTTGCGCTCCTTACCGCAGTCGCCTCGGCCAGTCCCGTAGCTCCGCGGCAGTCATCGGGACCTGGCACGACACTGCAGGCGGGATGGTACTGGGTTCGCGCGGTGGCCTCACCCAATTTCCACAAATACCTCCAGACAAAGCCGGCGAATGCGCCAGGCACGGCCATCCTGGAGAGCTACACGACGGCAGGGCAGTACAATGTCAAGGATGGGCAGCTAGTAGCCAACACGGGCGAAGGGGGAGCGCCGCTATATTTACATGTCGAGAAGCCAGCAGACCTAGCAAACCCGCCGCGAACGCTCGCCACCTCATTCAACACGACCGAGAATACATTTGGCACTTTTGTCTTCCAAGGAGACGCCCTTACTTGGAGTGTACCGGACATCAACCGTCAGAACCTGGCCGCTTGGCTTGTCTGTAAAGACCAGGCGCTATTTATTAACACCGGCGCCTACGGCTATCAAACACCTAGTGGATGCTCGGATCAGACTGTAAGGAATATCTTTGTTCTCTCTCGGGATTTTAACTCGTCCTGTCTGTAATACAGAAAGTAGCGTATTAACAAAACCACAGATCCATTACTACAATGACGCGCATGCGAATGAGTGATGCATGGCCTATTGGATTGAATACTAGCAGGCATTTGCATATAAGTATCGAGATAAAGTTGAAAGACACGCATCGTCAATATATTATACTCGGAACTGACGGTGTTGTGAGTTTATGGTATTTATGTAGCGCATTTAACCTATCTGCTCATGGCAAGTCTTGCTACACAATCAATGGAGTGTAACTAAGCAATATTCCAATGTGTACTTAAGTACTATACACCTCTGAGTTACTACGTTGAAATTTGAATTATCCTACACCTAAGCACAATCCAGCCCAGCCGAGTCTTTGTTCAACTAAGGTCGCTCTAGAGCAGCCGATTATCACTTATTAGTGGCTGGTCATGTGTGGTACTTTGATATAATCTACTTCCACATTGTAAGGTAAATAGAATAAATAGCCTCTTGTTCGATTCAAAGGGCGGCTCAGCTTATGACAAGGTGAAACTCAAAGGGAATAGGCGACAATGCTATTATCACCTAGCCAGACAAAAGGCGGCAAAGACTCCTTGCATAAGGAAAAATGGGAACCAAGGAAGCAAACAATAGTGATACACGGAGTTGAGATCCCGACCTTGTAACTTCGACAGCAAGATAATGGATTGGCATAAACAAACGGACAAGTAACTAAAGGGATTCCGACGTCAGACTCGAAGCTCTTTAGAATTCTATTCTATTCATTACCAAGATGTTTAAATAAATTTCTCGCAATGATGTTTACTCTTCCACTATTCTCTTAACACTCGAGCTGTGCTTGGTACTATCATTGGTAAGGTCGCTATTTTTCAGCTTCTCAACAGGTATACGTCTCTTTCTCTATCACTAAGAAGTAGTACATTCCTTAGCTGGCTTCCTAAGGAACAACCTCAACGAATCCCACGATATCAGAGCCGACACGTTTTCAGCGCACGTTCGAATCTGCCGCCATGCATCCACGGATAAACATACGAGAGCTCTTTATGGAGTGGCTCCCGCCGATATGGGAGCGGAACTATTTGCCGTTTTACAGAAGCATTTATGCGGGCTTCTACCTCCTTATAACGACGTACCTCCGGCTGCTTCTGGGATTATTGGATAACAAATCCGAACCGATAGTGAAACCGATAGTGGTATTCTCACAGCGAATTACGGCTATCTTGGTCTTAGTCTTTTCTGTGCTAGCCGGGCTGGCACGCTTCATCACGCACACTTACATAGAGCTATTAGCGGTTATACGCCAGCATGCGCTCTCCTTTCTCCTACTGTGTCTGCGCACGGTGGACAGCGAATTGTACCGGGTCATGCACGCCGTAATAGACATACTGATGATCGCCCTGCAGATAGGCTTTTGGTTGCTGTGCCTATATTCGTATTTAGAGATATCGGTGGATTCGATACAGCAACCAGACCCGCTGAATTGGGCCGCGGAGAAGCGTATGAACCAATATTTCCATAACGCGGAACGGCAAGGGAATAAGTTGCGATGGAGGCACATGGCGGATGACCAAGTTGTAAGAATACCAAATTATGTTTTTCATTAATTCATTGATCTAGCTTAACGTGCGAAACGTAGGCGTCTTGCTTGGGAAAAGGTAGAAATGGGGTATATAGGTTCGGTATATGTAAATGGATTTCAAAATGTTTCCCGGTTTGATGAAGGGACCAAACGCCGGTCCAATGCTATGCAATATGCCGTGATGCTGGAGCCGTATGCAATGCAATGCAATGTAATGCTGTACCGTGTCTCATATGCGTCGTTTATTTCGTGTCTAGAAGCCCATCTCCTCGTCGCTGTCCTCGGCTCCTTCGCCATTAGCCCTTTCTTCTTCCTCTTCCCTCCTACTCGCCTCGGCGCTCGCGCCTAGCTTCCGTACACCTTCGATGACGCCTAACACAAACCCTCTGCTTTCAGCTAGTTCCATTGCCCCGACACCTCGCAACTTGAGTACACCGCCGCCGCCTTCTAGATGTACTGTACTACTGCGCATTTTCGCCGCACGCACCTCTTGTAGATCCCGAAGTAACGTCCGAACCTCAGCAGCGTTAGGTATATCGTCGGCGGCGTGCGCAAGCAGAGTCTCTGAAAGTTCTAGCCAGTGGTAAGGTAGGTAGCCCGAAGGCGCCTCCTGTGTACACGAGGGGAGAAAGGGCGGCGACAGTACTATGTCCCCCGGCTTCAGCTCAAACGAAGATTGCGCGTATGGCCTTGCGCTACCCCTGCCGTCGGACCTCATAGGCGGTGGTGGAGGTGGGGAGAATGCTACGGGATCGATGTTGGTCTCGTGATTGATGATATCCTTGAGCGAATCTGGATATAGCCAAGGCGGTGCGACGATGTTCGCGCGCCGTTGCTTCTTAAGTAAAATCGCAAGCCATAAGGGAAGCTGGGCGCGATGCGGTGGTCGTAAAGCTGGAGTTTTGCCCTATGTAATGGGATTGTGTGTTGTTAGTAGAGCTGTTTGACTATGATGATGACGATGACGATGACGATGGCGGGGTGGTGGGGTTAAATTATTTTGAAATAATTATTGAACATTTGGGTTTATTTACACTGAGTAACGGAATTGACTCGAGTCTTTGACGTGGAACGACCGTAACCATTTCCATCTCGCATAGGAAGGCTACTTCGGTTGGCACAAGGCCAGGTGGTAGTGGGAGGGCCATATTATCGTTTAATTAAAGGAATTGGGTGAGGTTTCGCCGTGAAGCGAGGCTAGAAAGAGACGCGATAACCATTTAGAAAGCAACGCGCCTTTGGGTCGTACTTGATTAATTGGATGGATATGGTTGTGGCGGTACAAGATGCATCCGTATGGCGGTGCAGTATTGTGGCGTTTAAGGTTTTCTTTTTTTGCTTTTCGCTTTGGTTCCAAGATTCATTCTTTCAATTCGTCAAGAAACACCTCCTCTTCATTACGCATTTAGATTATTCAACGTCTCTGCAAAGAACAAGGAAGTAGACAATCTATTATTTTGAAACTTCTAGACCATCTAAATAATATCCCTTAGTATTATACCCCCTTTAACCGAATATCCTACTACTTCCTAAAGCAGCAGGGTTGTTGAATCGCAGGTCAATGTTCAAAGAAGAAATTTGCTTAATCTCATCGTCAGTCAAATCGAAGGAGCAGCAATCAAGGTTCTGCTTCAGCCGCTCGACGTTGTTCGACTTAGGGATGACGATGATGTTGCGCTGAGTACACCATCGAAGTAAAACCTGTCCGGGAGATTTGCCGTGCTTCGCCGCGACGCTCTTCACCACATCCGTCTCGAATAGAGGCTTAACCTCCTTGGCCGTAGCATTGCCCAACTCGATAAAGCTCTGCGGGCCAAATGTCGAGTAACCCGTTACGGCAATGTTGTTTTCTTGCGCTAGGGCGATAAGGCCGGGCTGCGTTAAGTACGGGTGATGCTCGATCTGCAAGACGCTCGGATGGATCTTCGCATACGATAGCAAATCGTAGATTAGCTGAGGCTGGAAGTTTGATATGCCGATGCTCCTGATGAAGCCATTGGGGTTCTCCTTAGTCTGAACCATATCTTCCAGAGCCTGCCAGGTCTCTGAGATTGGCACCTTTGCCAGCGGAGTAACCTTAGTCTGCTCTTTATCAGACCAGAAGCAGGGAAAGCGGATCTTGTCGAAGGGGATAAACTCTTGCGCGATGGGGAAGTGGATCAAGAATAGGTCCAAGTATCCCAGACCCCACGCCTCGTTCTCTAGCTTAGCCATCTCGAACGCATGTTCGCGAGCGTGGTAATTGTTCCATAATTTGGAAGTAATGAACAGGTCTTCTCGCTTCACGATGCCCTCTTCGATGGCTCTCCGTATACCCTTACCGGCCTCGGCACTGTTCGTGTAGTCCCAAGCGCCATCAATGTGTCTGTAGCCTAACTTAATAGCATTGTAGACTACCGAGTAGCGAGTCAAATATCAGCAACCGATAGGCCTACATATGAAACAATTTTTGAAATGCTACAGGAGACATACCTTGATCAGCGCAGGTATCGTTTGGCACCTTCCAAATGCCAAAGCCAACTATGGGCATTTCCTATTCCTATTAGCCTCAACCCACAAAAGTAGAAGAGGAGGGGAGTCACGTACATAGCCAGAGGCCAGCTTTACAGTGGGTGTCTTCGTTGCCATAGTTGACAAGGAATTCGGTAGGTTACTTGTTACTATTAAAGAGAGAAGAGTCTAAGGGGAAGAGTCTAAGGGATACGTCCAAGGAGGTGAAAGGCATCAATTATATACCAGAGATATATACCATAGAAGGCGTTGAATTTCGCCTTGAAGCTTTCCCCACCGACAGTTTTAACAAACAATTGAGTTCGCGATGAGGGGTTGAGGGGTTGGAGAGCTGAGGGGCAATGAATCCATGTCTGTTACACCATGACGTTAGATTTTTTTTGTTTTTTTGTATAGTCTTACGGCTTCTGCGGGGCCCGACTCTTCCACTTAACTATTTAGGATGGCGCGCCGGTCCTCAAGTCTCTCCTCCGTAGGGCCGGCGCAGTTTCCCGTTACAGCGAATTTGCGAAAGCCCCCCCCTCGAGTCACACGCCGTAACGAAAAGGGGTCGATAAGATACGGTGCCAACTAATGGTAAGCTGTACACTGTAAGGCGTATTATAATTTAGGTTATGTGTGAAGTTATCAGATCTTAACCTAGACAGTGTGGTGACCTTGTTGGCCTACCAAGACCAAATCGGGAAGTTTCCTTTCATATCATTGGCTACTCTTAATTCTTAGTGTTGTTTCGTAAGACATAACTTCTAATGAGCCAGAGCTCAAACAAGTACCTAAATGCTCTCGAGGCTCTCGTTACCTTGGGTCCTAGGAGGTAGATAAGCACGAGCTACACCAGACTTCACTTTCTCGGAGGAGAAACCAATTGAAGTCATCCAATTAGGTACGACTGAGTATATGTGATAATAGACTTACAAGCAAACTGAGTTGGGAAAGATGACATATGATTACCTATCTGTATGAGCCTTTTTCACGCCAGCTTTGCCAGTCCCCCAAATACTAACAGCCGATATCTCCTTGACATTTTGGGACCACATAAATTACCTATTAATATATAACGTGAGCGAAGACTCTACAACACCTTTCGCTTTTACCCTAGATTTCTAAGGTAGGTTAGCGGCAATCCGATCTGACAGGCTATTATCCAGTTGTACTATGTAACGGGCTTGCGTCTGATGGTTCGAGTGCTGGTTTTGCTAACTCTCGTTTGTCAAGTCTTGGATCAGCCATCTTATATTTCCCTTTTACCGAATGGGTCCGACAATTGTAGGTTTAAAGACAACATTTAAAGACAACATCTTTCTGGCTTGTTGTGCTTGATATGGCCATCTTGTTAGACGTGGTTGAGCAGTGAAGAAAAAGCCTTTTGGCCATTCATATTTGCCTTCTCCCAATCTGCCAATTCAGGGTTCCCCCCTGTCTCTTCCCCCACAGACCAGGATTCTGGGTGGTTACCCTCCTCCTTTTGCACGTAATGCCCTGCTACTCGATCCACACTAGCTAGGAGACTTGCAACCACACAATGCCGACGTATCTGTGCCACGGATTTCGCTGGCATCGCCCAAGCATACGGTATTTCGTTGTTATCCAGAACGTTGACGACGTCGCGTCAGAATGGATTATAGCGCGGCAGAGCCCTGTCGCTCTCCTTAACCAATTCTACGAGCTATTCGACTTCCTACCTCCTTGTCCCCGTCCGGCGCGAAATCTAAGCCCCTCGCCCCATCGCATTCGCAATGGTTTCCCAGCAATAAACGGACATACCTATTCACGCACGCATTCGTGCGGCGGCCAAGGGTCTAAGGAGGAGGTATCCCGATTTGGATATAACGAGGATGGAAATGACAGCCGACAGAGCAAACTGTCACTGTCTGGTCGCAGCAAAGCCTCAGAGCAACTACCAACGACCAAGCAACGCGACAAGTTAACTTTATCTCCGGCGTCAGAACCACCAGATCCTAACGACGATATACCATTCAATGATTGGTCTATAGTAAAGTTTCTGGAAGAATTTGACCCATCGGATTTAACCACCGTAAGCGGACAATGGGCATATGTGGCAGATTATGTGGTGCGCATAGACACTTCGATTTCGGTTGCAGAAGAAATAAGTCGATACGAGACGCGGATGAAGATGGAGCCTTACAAACCCATGAGCGGCATGAGTGAGGAAATCTGCCATAAGGTAAATACGTACGGCAACAAGAAAGCAGGCTGGTTTGAGAAGCTTCGCGATCAACTGCAAAGAAAAGAGAGTATCCGGTGGTATGTCGTGGTCTGTGGTGATGAAGAACGTATCGGTGCTGAATTAACTGTGAATCAAGAGGCGAAAGATGGAACGGTCAAAGCTAATGATAGCGAGAGCCAACCATCTCAAGGATTTATCGAGGATGGATTTGAATTCCGTTTCCCGGAACTGTTAGTACCACACCGGGCCATAGAGCAGGGGCCGAGACGTCGAAGAGTTGAGAAAAGCATGACCAAACAGAGCCAGGCGCCTTTGCCGGACAATGAGCAACCGGCTATCTCTCCTCCTGCTTCTCTGCAAGTAACTCGTAAAATGTCGATAGACCATGCTATCAAGCACACGGGTTCCAGGTTTAGCGGCGGACTTAGACGGCTATTCCTAAGGCGAAAAGCTGATGGTCTAACCTGAAATATGCGCTTGAGAGTGGTCTTACTATTAGTCGTTCCGATATCTTGGGCCTTCCATATACAAGTCTCCATTGGAAGTTCATGCACCTATGTCTTATCCATTTAGGTTCCTTACGTAGGATGTTTTCAAGAAATAGCACGGCACTTTCCATCATGGTATTGACTACAGCCCCTTCTTGCTGGAAATCGACTAGAAAGTTAAGTACCGGGAAAGAGCCTTATGTGGTGCCTTGAGGGCTGGGTTAGACAGGAAGATCCAACAGCCTTTCTACCTACATTCGGTATTTTTTCTTAATTTCTTGAACTATGGTCTGAGTCAATCAAGACAAGTTGCACGGCTGTCTAATCTATCTCTATTCGCAGAGTTAGGTATTATTTATCATATCATACGCTCTAACAGTAGCAATGGAAGGGGATCCGACACAAAACCCCTTCGCGCAGTCCTCGAAGGAGAGAGATGACGGGACGCTTGATGATCTATGCGGCAAGCTTCAACAACTTCGTCATGGTCATTCACTACCTCCACTACCTCCTGAGCTTTTACTGTGTGTTTTTGACTATTTTCGACTTCCAGTCCAAGACGTAACCTCTACAATACCCCCGCCCGAGTTCCTAGTAAACCGTAAAACCCTTTATAATCTCTGTCTTACCTCCAGCGTCCTCAACGACCTCGCAAAGCCGCTCCTTTATCAGACAGTCATCTTTTTTCTCGAGTCCCGAGACTCTGAGGATCATCAAAGCGCCATCGCCTATGGGGGCCTAAGGAGTTTAATACTCTTAGTCCGAACTCTGTTTTGGAAGGACGAATACTGTGAATATGTCAAAAATATAATTTGCCCGGCGAGTTTGAAGCCTCGTGACTGGGATAGCGAACTTGAGATAATTCGCGACGAATGCCGGTGAGTAATATTTAGACTTGTTTTCCCATTTCTTATTTCACTCTTGGGTTCCTTATATATATCGGTTAAGATGCCGGTTCCAAAGGGGTTATGATACTTGTCTAATACCCCTGATCCGTTTAATTAATAAATACTGATAATAGGTGCTGTAGCGGTATAATACCGCTCCTTTCCAACTGGCCATTCCAGCAGAACTTGTCAGACCGCCAAGAATTTATAATGAAAACGACTCATATAGATTCGTATAGTATGCATATGTCGCCAATGACCTATTTAGGTACATTAGCCTCAAAGTTCTTAGCGGCTCTTGTCTGTCTATCTTATAACCTTGAACTACTCCTACACTGGACCGAAACTAGTCGTTATCATTCGCTAAATCATTTCCTACGCCTTGCAAAGATGCAAAGCGAACACTGCATTATTCCTCGGCTACTAACGCTGTGTGTTCAACAAGTCGACTTTTCTAGGCTCCCCCTTGGATCCGACATGGAAATAGCATCAGAGCTGCTTGAAATCGGAATGGTCCATCGACTCCATGTCTGGCGCCACTACGGATATATTACCTTCCCAGGAGGTCATCACGAATCGTGGATCGGAAGGATAAGGGAGATGAAACTAGTAACCTGTAGTAAGTACTAGCCCAAGCCCGTCGCTCGACCAAGCTTTAGCATATCTGGGAAGGGTCGCCGCTCACTACGAATCTTGTAGTCGATGCCGAAACATTATGCCGTGTCTTCGAGTCTGCTGCTAAACTAGAGATTTTCTCGTTAATCGTGCCGAAGGCCCATGGTTTGGTTCATCCTCCACCGGCAGCAGGCAGAGATCTCAACTACGCACTAGTAAAAGTGGCCGGTACTTTAAAGGTGTTAGAGTTAAGGACTTGTCAAAACAGGTGGTTTCTGGACCAGCTTGGGCCGTCTCATCTTCTTCACTGCTTACCTCTACTCGAGAAGCTTGAAACACTAACGGCTGAAGTATCGCTTTTCTTTAGAATCCAAAGAAATACACTTAATGCCAGGGGGTTTGTACTATTTCCACCGAACCTCATCTCGCTTCACGCGGCCGAGGTATGGTTGAGTCCAGAAATGTTCACTCGCAGAGAGTTAGGGATGAGGGCTTTTTCTAAAATAATCGTCGCCTACCTTCATTTTGGATTATTGCCCAATCTAAAGCACATTCGGTACATTCCCGACGTTGTAGAAAGCCTTCTCGACCCCGACGAGCTTTACGCACTCAAGCAAATGTTTGATGCGACCCGTGTGTCTTTCTCTTCTAAGGCGGACAGCTTACCAAGACAGTTCTTTTACCCCCCTGAGCGACAAATATGATATACTCCCTAGCGGTTCACGTTCACTGGAAATAAATGAGCAAAGATGCTTAATGTAGCGATGTTAACTTTTGTGGTCTTTGAGGTAGTTTAGGTATTTTAGCTACGGCCGTTGGGTATAAGTTAATAGCGAGTCTAGATGGCAATAAATTATCTCATGACGCTACCTTTCATGCATAGACGTCAGAACATAAATTCAAAAGACACGAATAAGAAATGTCCCCAAGTCTCAATTTCACAATTACCATAGTAATTATTAATTATGAAATGATCCCTCTCTTTGAAACGCTCTTATCAACACCCGTACATAATAGGATTCTAGTGATATCTTTACTACCAATAGTTACCCGTCACCTCACTACATGAGACCAATGTATAGCTTGTCTCCGCCCCCCTACTTCCTTTCCTTCTTAGTTCGTCTTAGTATATCCGCCAAGCTGGATGCCGGCATGCGAGGTACCCCCATTCGAGGGACGGCGGACGGACGGGGGTTCCTGGCAGGGCCTGCCGCTGAATCCGCAGTCCCGCGTACCTATGAAAGAGGAAAGAAATCTCCGAAGGGGCTGCGCTGCCCTTAGTTGTCGCACACCGTGATTTTTCTTTTCTTCCTCGTTCGAATCCTTCCCCATCCCCGTTCCCTGCTGACAGCGAAATACCGTGCAACTAGGCTGTCTGCCCTATGACACCTTCGATATAGCAATCCCTCGAAGAGGGGAAACGGGGGAGGGTCCGGGATTGGAGGCCTATAGGTTAGGAGATTATGTTGGTGTGCATGAGAGGCACATGCAAGCAGGCAAATGCGGAGCCCCGCAAAGGGCCTCGACATCACGGGATCGAGGGGGTTATTTATTTATTTATTTATTTTTATTTCCTTTTTAATACTTATCCTATTTTATCTATTTCTTGAAGTATGCTTGCTTCCCTGTTCTAGAGTCCCCTCATGTTACGTAGGAGGTACTTAATGCTTCCTGCCAGCGGAACGAAACCCTCCTAGAAAGTACATGTAAGTGAGCCTGGCAGATGGCGGTGGCTAACATGCCGGGATGGTACTTATATGTCAAACATCTGGACTACCTACCTCTTAATGAAGCCGCTCAATTGCATCTCGCTTACGTCTTCCCACGTGCTAGATGACGAGACGTCTCTGTCCGATAAGGTGTGTTAGATCTCTCAAAATAGCACGCGATATTTATAAAGGCGAGTAAGTGGGTAAGTGTATAAATAGAACTAAGTATTCATATTATATATAGGTAGGTAGTTATCTGAAAATCGATTGGGTATAGATGACGACGTGGTTGTCTCGACTCATTAATTTTTGTCATTGCCTCGTAACCTCCCGCCATCGAGTATAAGCCACTCTGCGAGATATAATCTCCCGCTACATCTTCCTGTCTTCGAATTAACCATGATGACGATGCAGCCTCCGTAGGCCAAGACGCTTGGGAATAATGCCGATAGTGCCGAATAACGCTCTCGAGACTGCATCGGCTGGGGGGTTGAATAATACATACACATTGGTTATGCTCAACCAAGAAACATATATGCAACCAAGTGTAGTTAAAGGGTAGGTAGGTATACAACAATATGAGGACGTGAGATACTAGGGGGGGTTGGGGGTCTGGAAGGGCCAGCCAGCTGGCTATGTCTTCTTCGATTCAAGATCCTCCTCCTTGCCGATGACTTCATCGGCACTCATGATGTCGTTCTGGATGGTAGTAGGGTGTTCAGTAAGGGTAAGGTAAGGCAGTGTAGGAAGATGAGAATAGCCGCGCATGTCCTCAGATCGAGATACAACGTATAGGAAAACGTCCACGGACATTTCTCCAGCTCTAGAAACATGAAAGATTTGGTGACGGTTGTAAAATCCGACCCTTCACCATGGCATATTCGGTGATGGGGGAAATTATGTGAACAGGTTTGTGAACAGGTATATGAGCAGGGTTATCGGGAATCCGGACCGTAAAGCCTAGTCATCCAGCCATCCCCCAGACCCAAGAGTTTTCCCCGCCAACCACGCTGGACCAGTCCACTCCAGGATGCAACCCAAGGGTACCGCAGTGCTGCCAAAGCGCTACAGTCTACTACTTTAGCGGCCCTAGGCCCTTTTTCAACGGCCTCGCTCCTAGGGGTTCGTCAATCATCTAAGAAATCAGCCACGGAGGGACTTGATCCCTAGGCCCTAGGGACCCGACAAGGCTGAAAAGGAATCCGGTGGCTAGTCGCACAAGTTAGTTGCCATAACCTCCCTAATTGGGGCGTCGTATCGCAGCTTGCATGCCCCGGGAGACCGGGAGAAGTCCTCGTGCAATAGAGACAAGGCATTTCGAGCATAGCCGAGAATGCTGAACGGGAATCTCTGCAAGTGCCTGCACTCGTTCCTAGATACGCGAACCGGCCGGCCCAGACAGTGGGTAGATATGACATGGTAAAAGTTAACACTTCCATGCAGACTGCAGATGTAGTCTGTAGAGGTGGTGAATTTTCGGGGTCAAGAGTACATCATCCGATCGTCGTGACCTCTTAAGCATTCGGACCGGCCATACCCATCATAACATGTCCATCAGGACTGGCACACTGCATCATGCTCGACCGTGTATCAACCGTTCAGGAATGTTCGCCTCCGGACCTCGGCCTCCTTGATAATCTCGGCAGCCAAACTCAAGCTGGGCGCCAGTATTGCCATCCTCTCGATGTCCATAATTACGTCATTGATGATTTGATCGATGACTTCACGGTGAGGTACGAGCGTCAATAGTATGTTAGACAGAGACGGTGACATAGTAGCGCCCATTACCAGTAATGTCTGTGAAACGATAGAGAGAGCACCTTGCCAGAGGTAGGGCATATGGCCGGCGTGACTACGGTCAAATCGTTAGATTGGGTCAAGAATTTGAAGAGCCGGGAAACAAGAGCATGAACGGCATGAGGCTAGGGAGATTGTCCAATCATAAAAGAGGATAAAAGGGGAATTCTCTACTTACTGTGCAGATATGTGCTCCAATTGCCTGATTGAGGCTTCGAGGCACTTGTGACAGCTATCCCGCACTGAGGGGTCTAAAACGGCCTGTTCGTTATCCAGCACCGCCAAGATATACGGACGGTAGATAATGGTTCGGCAAGCAAAGAAACGTAATCGTAACACCGTTTGCACCGGGTCCGGTAGAGTCGTACGGGTGAAGGGGAATTGAAGGGCCAAAGGGAGACTCTCATACCACTGCGTAAGCTGAAAGTCCAGCTCCGCGACGACAGGCTCTAGACTCGTAGTTGATGCCATAGAATCCTTGGAGTAAATGAGTTGGCTAACTCGATTGAGGAGTCTTCTTAAGGCGATTTCAGCTAAGAAGTACCAGAGATCGTCTCGACCAACTGCTTCGGATTCTTCTCCTTGAAATCCACCAGGAAGTCCAACGTTTTCCTCAAATTGAACCACTCCGGAATGGGGCAAATCTAATTCCGCGAGAAGGTCGCTTTCGAACAGGAGAGCGTTCCAGTAAATTCGTTCTAAAAGTTCTCTCTGGTCTTCGGGCACGCGAGTCGGAGTCATAAGTAATAGTTGTAATTTGCTGCTCACCGTGCACAGTAGATTCCACGCTTCCAGAGGCCTTACCAAGTAGAAAAGATATGCAGCGGCTAATAAATGACACTGAGCGGCTAAGACGCTATTCGCAGTCATCATGCCGGGTAGGAGTGACCATGCAGCCGTAAAATATTGCAGGCCCGGAGGGTCCTCCTGAGGCACAATCCTGGATATACTACCGCGCAAGCTCGCCTGGCCGAGTGAAAGTACTAGTAGCACGATACAGCTTTCTGGACCTTCGCGAAACCCGGTCGACAATGCCGTACGATAATGGCTCCTCCAAGTAAAAGGATTGACGCAGGCATACCATACGTTCACTCTCTCGAAGTAGGCCTCGATGTAAGCATTAGTATTTGATAAGTCGACACAGGGAGTCTTCGCTAAGGAATGTAGTGGCTCCCGAGCCATCTCAAGTTGTAGGATGATCTGTGGGTCGTACGGGCGTCCGATCAGATCCCGAATCAACGGCCATTGCAGCAGGTGAAGCGCGGCGTTTGTGTGAACTTTAGGCATCGTAGAGATGTTAGTACCTTGGGGATGACTTGTCCAAGTACCTAAGCCACCGCTTGGTATAATAGAGACAAAGTTACCGGAAGAGTTCTGAATCATGACATTATCGCCGCTGAGAGCCGTCCCGTTACTTATGGGCGGGGAATCGTGGGTAATCTGCATTGCGTTCGGGTGGCCGTTTGTCAAATTGATTTGAAGAAGGCTCTCGATTCGGTTCAATCGCTCAAGAATGAGCTTGTCGCCAGCGTCAAGCTTGATCCCGGGCTCTCGATATATACATTCAGCCCCGAGTTCCGTACAAAGCTTGCATTTTGGTTTCGTGCCATCACATCTTGATTTCCGAGAGCGGCAAACTTCGCACTATAATAATTACGTTAATTAGAATCTCACCTGAACAACCTTTATTACCATCATCTAACCTACCGCGATAGTGGCTCGTCTCCGGGGGTAGTCAACAGTCGCATCCGTATTCCTCCTCTTTAATGGGTTTCCCCCTTCGTCGCTAGATGCTTTCGACATGCCATTGGTGATTTGCTCAGTACGGATCTCAGACGTTTGAGAAAGGTTCCGAGCTTTTTGTGCCGAACCTAATATTCCTTCCCGGCTGAAACTTGCAGTGCGCTGAGCCTTGTTGACGGCCGTCGGAGACTTTAGCGCTGAGCCGTTGGTGGCCGGGTTAAGTTGCGGCGACGGGACCTCGATAGAGAAGGTCTCTCTCGAGGGCAAGGGGAAAGGCCGTCCCGAATTGCTTGCTGCGCCGGCGGAAAGAGGCGAGTCACCCGTCGACGACGGCGACATCTTTCGAACCAACAAGTCACCGGCACCTCTCCGGTGTAGTCAACGACAAGCAGTCTCGCTTAAGTATTAACTAGACGATGTTGCTACCTTTTCGTATGAAGTCGTGTAACCGTGGACCTAGAGAAGCATACGACTTCGGTGAGGAAGTATTTACCCAGGACGCCGTACAGGGACGAGATTCGGACAAAAATGACGAGAGAGGGTATCCGGGTCTGCAAGGCACGGGGCAGCGAGCTTATCATATTTTATGACGGGAAATCATAGGAAAGATGGAGGATTCGACGGTGGTGTCTCCTCCACATGGTACACACCTGCAGAAGCGGCGCAAAACCGTGGTCCGTTGAGCCCCTAGTAAGAATCCCAGCCCGCCTAGAGGGTCCAGCGTACATGGTATGGAGAATGTAGACCAACCAAAAAACCCCCCAGAAAATTGCTTCCCATCGTGGTTTAGGCCTACTGTCGTCAAAAGGTACAATACAATACAATACTTACCTCTTACTAAGGGTACAGCATAGCATTGGAGGTACTTAGCGATAGGGTAAGGGTAGCATTCATGCCCTGTCACCTCACCCTTGATTGGAGCCCATCTTCTGGAAGCTCGCGGTACAATACTGTACACAATTTGACCGTTCAATTTCATCTTCCGTGTGAACGAGCTGTCCATAGCGATACGTACAGCTGGCATCGAGCATCAATATGTAGTATGTTAACCCCATCACACGGACTAAATAAGTTGGAGCCTCTTTCTACGGGCAATGCCGCAATAGTTGACATAGCCGAAGCGCTACTGCAAATACTTGTGTAGTAGGTAGGTAGACTTTCAAATCCCCGCTTCTGGGATACCATAGCATGACTTCGCGTCTGAGCCAGGGTCGTAAATAGTCTACCAGAATAGAGACACCTGTATTCCGAGGATCCTTAAGCTTGGGCTTAACGTACCGCACGAAAATGAACTGTTATACTAGAGGGGGTGCAGTGACCTCGATGACGAGAGGATAACTAGAACAGGCATAGATTTCTCGCAGCATGGGGAAAATGACTGGTAGGAATAGTTACAAAATACTTAAGAGTACGGTTTTAGGGGAGATCTGGGGCGGCAGGGGGTCGGATGAAAGGGAACATGAAAATTTCCGCGGGAACGATTTAGAGAATGTGAATTAATAAGAGGTACCTACCTACTGTACGTATTTCCACCACATGAATGTGTCCATACAGCCGTAGCCACTATATATATCCGACATAGGAAATTATGAAAAGTGCTTTTATATCAGGTCACTACCCAGATACCTCCACAACATATGTAACCCAGAGGGGTGATAATGCCACAAATATTAGCAATTTCGCTAGCACTAGTAGCCCTAATAAAGGAGATGGATACTTACCTAACCTATATTAAGTATAGTGTAAGTGTAGGTATCCATACGTCTGGGTATAGAATACCTATTACCTACTACCTACGGAACTTAAGGTACTTAAGTCTAAGCGCCTGCTTTCAGGTTTGAAGACATAAAAAAGCAACATGAAGCCGGCATCGATTAGAATTGCATATCCGCCGGTATTCGCGAGGTCCTATGTAATTTCCTATGGACACCTAGATGCAGATAAATTAACTATGCGTTTTAGTTGCGTATAAACATGACTTGGCTTGGACCCTTAGCTTCTTCTAACCGTATTCCGTAGATATTAGAATTGTGACCTATTACCATTATTAGGTAGCTAGATAACCCTTGTCAACCCCATCTTCAACCTGCCCGGTTGTACATAGCACATGGACCATGCAGGATACGTTCGATAACCACATACGTACAATACGTATATGTTAGCTAACAGCCAAAAAAAAAAAACTCATCCCCTCATCATGATTATGTGATAACCGTCCTTATTTACAGCGTCACTTTAGATATAACAACCATATCTCTATCCGGAATGGCCTCTATTCATTGTTGATATTGTATAGTAGTTAAGCCTATCATTAAGTACCTATTGAGATGTGTGCATAACAATACAGGACAACTACATTTACTCGACCTAACTAGTCGAAGAAGGCATTATAGGGCTTCAAACACCTAGATCCTGATATCCCCGAAATACAACCCATATAACGTCTTATAGCCTACTACACTACACTACACTATATTATGCTAGACTAACCTGTAATACACCCAACTATGGGTTTCAAACTCGTACAAGAACAGGCTGACCACCGAAATGATCATACATACCTCTTCATGCTATACGCGACCTGTCATTGGATACTGTTGCTATAGCCAAACCACCCCGTCAACTCCTCGGTGCGCTAGCTTAATAACTTGCCTACGCACACGTGAAGAATACTCCAAATCCCATATATCAAAGTTGACTAAGGGTCTTGGTTGTCATTTAGCGGGCAGAACCGATTTGCTTACGGCGTCTCGCTTGAGTCACGAGAGCCAGTTTGGTGCAGTTCTTCTGCTACATCAATATAAAAGCGGATGACTACCTCTATTTACGAAGGTGGCTGACCTTCCTTTCTGGAATCCTGTTCTGTTCTTTTACGACCGACCTAGGTACTGTACTGTACTTCCTCATCGTCGCTCCGCTGGCGTAGGAGGAACGAGACGATCCATTCTCGCTACCGGGCAATGCTTCACCCTCTACTATGGTACATACGGATAACTGCGAGGCTGACCGAGAAATCATTCAGGGTTTGCCTCTTTGGGTTTATAACAGGACGAGTTCATTTAAACTGTGGACCGGTCCCTTCAGGCAGACTGCGGAATTACTACAGCAGACGTGAAGATCTAGCAATATTCTGGAAGACTCGTGAAATGAGCCCGGTTTTTCCCAAGTCAACCAGATTGATCAAACTGAAACTTATCATATATGGTATTTGGATATCCGTGTGCCTACCTACCTAACCTATTCCACAACATCTCTGCTCATTCAGCTACCCTTACCAAGCCTTAGTACGTGCGTGGGAGGACTAATAACTACATACATACTGCCTCGTCGGCTGTTGGCGTCGACAGCCAGCGGCTTGCATGATCATATCCGTCCAACGGGCCGAATACTAAGTGATAGTGGTGAATGTGCTGAAAACGCGGACGGCCTTGCGCCAACCGCACGCCACATAGAAAAATATCCTTACACTTAATCTTTTACTTATAAGCTCGGACCGGGCTTAGCATCGTCCTAATCTGTAGATCATTTCTGCGGGGGAAGGGGTTCTCAAACGCAAACGGCTTGTCCCGCAGGCTGAGAAGACGGACAGCGCGGAGAAATGTAGCTTGAAAATTAAAATTGCTAGCTTTAATAATGCTATTATATGGTTTCATCCTCCCGGCACTTATCCTCTTTCTTCCAAGTTAAGCCTTCATGGCTTTCCAGAAGGGCTGACGTGCTTAACGCTTGAAAAATAGCAGTATCCTGTATTAACTAATACGGAACGCTGCTAGAGTGACGTCTGGATCAGGGTAGAGTCGTATTAAAACTAACAGCTCACCTCACTCATGACGGTCAATTAGAGTCATGAGGCTGGAACAATCCAGCTTCGACACTTTGAAGAATTTAATAAGAAACCGTTTATTTGAAGCTCCGCTATTGCTTCCATAGCCCTGGCCCGCGAATAACCAGAGTTACTATGCTTGTATGTATATCTGTACACTGCATTACTTCCATTAGGTATTATATCTTGTATTCGATGTATTCAACGCCAAGATATGCCCTAATCTAGCGGAGTGGGAATTTGGTTACACTCATATCATCGCCAGCCTATGGCGAGATTTCGTTTACGAACTACCCCAAATGTTCGCCAATACCTCAGTGCTCTTCACCATCGTGGGTTTACTAAACAAGCTCAACCGGTCGGAGTTGTTCCGTACCAGGTAATTCCAAAATAGATAAGCATATCCTCTTTAGTGTCAAGAAACGACCGCATTGCTTTACAGTGCCGCCATGGCACCGCAGAAGGGCTACATACATACCTCTAAGGCAACCTTCGAAGATCGAGTGACATGATCTCCTGTGCATCTGCTAGGCGCGCTCAGACTCTCGCTAGCCCATGCCTGCCTTGCTTGCTGCTCCCCAGATCCCGCCAGGGCAAATTAACTTAAAAGTGGTATTCTTCAAACATGGAGTAGGTACCTACGGATAGACCCTCTTTCCAGGGCCAGCTTACCTATGAGGCTACGTACCACGAGTACGGTTGTCTCGGCTCGGCCAACCAGCTTGGCGAACGGATTCCTGCGTCGCTGGCGCGAAGAAAGAAAAACAAAAAGGAATGATCGTGACAGTTACCGCCCCCGGCATTTGCAAAGAAGGATCGCAAGAAATTTACGAAAGGCCCTGCGCTTTGGGGCAGACTACTAAACGAGTGTAACGTCGGTATCATGTTTGACGTTCAACAAAATTTCTCCTCCGGCAAACACACGATCGAAGTCTAGACGGGAGAGTCTAGCCAGGTGAATCCCATCGAGACCTTTACTCACCTGACCCGAAATGGTATTCCGCGCACCAACCGTATCTGGTAATCTCATCTACTATTGTTTGTGGTACGGCCCTGTCGAATTCACCTACGTAGCAGCGGCTGCCGCTATGGCCCTACATATCTCGCTTCTTGGTACCAGTGCCTGTCAAGCGCAGCAATCTGCCATCCTAATGTGTGACCAGGTCACTAATCGGGCGTGAAACAAGCTGTAAGTCATCGAGGATGCACGTATACCATGTTAATTTAATAAGCGGTTCCAAGTTTTCCTGGTTCTGCTATCTAGAGAATAATTTGCTCCATGTTAGCGTATGCTACGTACCTACTCATAGCCCTAATGTGTACCTACAATATTCGAACAATCTGTCATACCTTTTCCATTCTTGTCGATCTCCCGTAATCCGTATCCTACTCCAAAATGGTCTGCCAAGCATCCCCGTCGTCGTCGCCTTCCCGCCCTAAAGAGGCCTAAAGAGGCTGCGGCGAGGTCGACGACATGACTTACGAGTCCACGTCAACAGTTTCGCCCCTGATCAACAAATCTCCATACATGGTATTATATATATTAATATTTCTACCAAATATATAGAACGTCCACCCTGTTGTTAACCTCGGGGTGATCCTTTTCCGTATTATCTACCCCATTCCCAGCTGGACCAACCATGTATCCTAAAAGACATGTTCACAAGGTTGCTATTTTTGTCACTAAAAAGCAATCTCACCGGTGGCAACTTGATATATTGACCTACGTACACCTAGGCTCTCCCCATCCTAGCTTACCAAACTTCAGAGAGCTTACTTACGTGTCTATATTAAAATCCACCTACCCCCGCACTCTACTAGGTATTGACTCCTCTCAATTTATATCGTATAAGCCATTGAGAACCCCGCACCACATGCCCAAAATCTTGTGAACTTGCGGATGAGGCTCTAGAGGATCTGAAGAGATCCAGCTGAAATATTATTCGGTACAGTGGCCACATGACCTAATAACTATAATTGACCCGCTTTCTCTCGGATATTGTTATTATTCGTACCACTGTATATTGGCCCCTGTGTCTTGCTACGCGAGATCGGTATACGAAAAGAGTCACTTGTTCTATAAGTCGTACGGGATCTATACGTCTACTCTATCCGATTGTGGGGTCTGGACTCTTTCCGTGACACTCCTAGATTGTATGATAATCTTCGCGGAAGATGGCCGCTGTCACTTCGCCTTCAATATCCGCATACGCGACGTAATCCTTGAATAACCCTGTTTCGACATCACGATCGATCACAACGACGCGGCCATCCCCCTGTAGTGACACAGCCGCCAAGTTGCCGTCCGCGTTGATCGAGAAGTGCCGGGGTACCCTACCACCAGCTGCGAATTCCTGCACTTTCGTCAAGTTTCCGGTTGAGCGGTCAATCGAATACTATAGGGGTCAGCAGCATTCAACATAAAGATATAGCTATGTGCCTTGATCACTAGGAGATCCTAGGAAGCTCCTGGTAAATTCCTGGGAAGCACTTCCCTTAAATATAAAAAATTAAAATTAAAAAGGGGGGGACAGCAGGTGACTTTGAAATACTCACGGTTATGAGTGGGTCTGAAGGGATCTCAGTGCTGTTACTAGGATCGAAGTTTGTGATATTAAACGAATCCTCCCAGCGAGATGATACGATCAAGAACTTTCCATCAGGCTTTATATCGTGTTAGTGTTGTCTTAAATCACGGCCGTACCTAGCATTCAACGCCAAGGACTTCGTCGTTATACTTACCGACACTAGAATCTCAGCCGCACCTGTCTTTTCTGGTAACGCCCTCTCTTCGCCGTGTGTAGGGATGAAGAATAACTCGTCAAAGCTAAGCGTCTTATTTTCATTGTATATGACCTCATATCCCGTGATGGTGTTACCGAGTTCAGAGACCAGGTAGAAGTATGTCTTCTCCGACGTGACTGTGAACGCACCGTGCCTTGGCCCAGACCCGGGCCGAACGGCGAGAGGGGTGATGGGTGTCAAACCGAGGGTACTAGCGTCGGCTTGGTAGATACGGACGAGGTCAGCACCTAGATCCGGCACCAGAACGTACGACGCGGTAGGGTCTAGTATCGACTCGTGTGGATGAGGCGCCTCCTGTCGCTCGGGGTTGGGACCAGGTCCTTCAAGCGTATAAGTCTCATTGTGCACCAGAGTGAGATTGCCCTCGGCATTGAAGCCAACGACGCTGACGCTAGAACCAGAACTAGATAGAATTAGTAAGAGATTATGAGAAGATTTTATCTAGACGATGCTCGTGATTTGATATTGTAAAGAGAGCCAAGAAAAAGGAGTGGACTGCGAACCACCGAGCAAGTTCGCCGCGCCGCATGCGGAGAAGTCGGGTGAAGGTTGGCTTACTAGTGTGCTATGGCAAGCCCGCTCCCGCCAACACCGAACTCAGCGATGCTGACTGGCCCTTGTATCACATCAAGCTTGTCCAGCGTGGTCAGCGTTCCGTCATCATCAGTAAAGAAGGTGGTCACGCCTCCGTAGGGACCGTTGAAACCCTCATCCAGACAGAAGAGGAATTTTTTGGCATAGTCGAGTGAGAGCCATGACGGATTCGGGCCACAGCCCGTCGAGTTGGAGATACTCTCAAGGGTAGCAGCAGCAGCGGTGGCGGAGTTGTCGTCGGGCAGGGTTAGACGTAAAGTCGTGACGGTACCAGCATAGGAGGACACATAAAGGAGGGTAGCGGATGCCTGGCCAGCTAATCCTAGGGACAGAAGCCCTGCGGGGGAGATATCTTTCCACATGGTTGGACGCTTCAACTCGTCGATCGACTGACTGGACCGAATCAACTGATGGGCGAGGATGAAGAAAGCGAGCAGAAAAGTCACGCCAGCGGTGGCTATTAAGCCAACGCCACGGGCTCTCGCAATCTGCCCACCGTTTGTCATCATAGCTTGTATTCTCTCCTCCCTCGGAGGCATTCAAGATCTATCGGCCTCAAGTGGTAATCGCTCATCGCCAGTATCCCTGCCTCCCTAGCTAAGTTGGGTTTATCCGGAGGGACCCTGCGGTCTACCCTGGTCCGGTACTGCATGAAATCCGGGAAAAAATGGCTAGCCGGCCGAGACTATTATGTACGTATTATTTATGTATATACCTATGTATAATTATTAATACATAGGCGCAAGGGCCAAGCCGCTGGCGTAGAAGAGCATACCTAATAGGTAGTATAGGACCTTTTGTTATGGAATTATGGTCCTCTGGTTGTAGGATGACAAGTTTTTTAGTCTGCTGCAGGGGTAGAGGGAGAGAAATTGGAGGAGGCCTATGAAAACAGCATAGCGAGCCTTCCTTTCATGCCCAAATCCAATGAAGGAACGCGAAGAAGTTGGAGTAAAGAATCTAGGCTGGTGACACCAAGACACACGGGAGATGGCGTTGCAATGCGGAGAAAAAAGGGTGGAGAAAAGACGGGACGGTTTATTTGTGAGATGAACTGGACTTTGAAGCTTTCCGGTAGAGACGGACAGGGGTAGGGCTTTTTCATGCCGGGGTCGATCCAGGGCTTCCCCATTGATGTCTATCATGCTCCGTCGTCTCAGCTTTCATTCTTTCCGGGGCAATGTGGAGGATCAGCAGGATGGTTTAAAGCCGCAGACTTGACTTTAAACCAATATATATAAACACTTAATTGCAATGGTTACCTAGGTATATAGACACTTGATTACAATGGTCTCATCGTTGGCGGACAGGAACCTCCTCTCCCTCTCGCAGCAAGTAAATTATTTTAATTTTATGGCAATTGATATATTATTACGCTCGGAGTAGAGGGGAACTCATAGCTTAGGAGGGTGCCATCGCCCTGAAAGTCAATTAATCGTGTCGCATCGCTAAGTCCCGAACGCGGAGATCACTTGAGCTGTTCTGATGCGACATTAGGCTTCAAATCAGGTTGTGCCCTGCCTGCTAGGTCCAACTGGCGTTTGTACCATGTTAGGTATCCCGCAATTGGATATTCAATGCCATCTTAGTAGGTAGGTAGGTAGCTTGCTATGTATGCCGTGTCAAGCGTGTCTAAGTCGAATGGACTACCACTCTGCACACTACCCCTGTGTTGCTCTTGAAGACATTCACAGGGAGAGGCTACTGCAAGCAAGTCGACGTAGTCACAACTGTAACCTCGAGCGTAGCACTAAGAGACGGGAATAGTGCTTGCTATTTTTCAATGCCCCGACCTGGAAATCTATGGACAAGAAGGGCTACTCCCACGACATAATAGGATAGGAATCATTTACTACTTGCAGATATGGGTACTGGAAGACCAATCAACCAAGGCATGTCACTCACCCTGTATATGCCAGATTTACGTTATTCTCCGTAATGCTTCAGCGCCTTACGCCGTATCCACTGCTAGCTACCTGTCTGATGGCTGAATCGATCCGGTCCCCGAAATTCATATCACCTAAGTACTACCTACTCTCATTCACTTGGACAGCTAACTTTAGAAACTCGGTTGACAACATGGATAACGATGCTAGTACGAGGAGAGGGAAAACCCTTGGCTTTCATCTGATCAACTACCATGGGGCCGACTAGTCCACCGGTGTGATTATATCCAAAACTAAGCTATATAATGCCGCCAAACAGCTACAACAGAAATGCTGGAATGCCTATTTAGACCAAGAACCCTCTCTTAGCTACGTCCATTAAGCCCAATACGGCAGCATCAGAAGTCCAAAGGGACGTTGCCAAGAACCAGCGCACATGGCTGGTAGCCATCCTCAGCGTAAATCTCCTTCTACTGTCACATAACCCAATCTCACTGCGTAACATTTACGTTTCAGGGACACTATATGCAGCCGCGAGAACCGTCTCCCACGCCGAGTTCTTATCACGAAACGATTATTATTATGCCCGACCTACATACAGCATGTCATTTATGCCGACGTATGAACGGATACCACCGACGTGGAACCCGCAATATATCACTTCCCAAACGAGAGAGATTGACAGTGTTACCTCACCTCGTGGCCAAAAGAAGAAGGATAGAGGAAAAGGGGGCTAAACGCGGTTAAAAGAGCCTCACCCGGAATGCTTTGCTTCCAGCGCTAGCAGCTTAATAATACCGTGTCGTCTCGCTACCATGAACTGGACTATGAAAGCTGTTCAAGCGATGATAATTCGGATATTGATCTAACACCGAACCTACCTAAGCTCTGTAGCCGATATACTATAACTATCAATAATTGAAAGCAACGCTGAGCATAAGATATCTTGTAATCATTGTATTAAAAGGACTGTACATACCATCAACTCTTAAAACCATCATCCAGTTAAATCACACTATTCATTCTCGTGAATATTTATCCATGAACTTATTAAGCGTAGTGTGTAAAAGATATAACAGGTGCCTACTAGGTAGAACTAACGGTAATGGATAAATCTCTATACCTGGTATAATAACGAGACAAGACAACCGCGGATTCCCCAGGATCCCCTTGATGCATCCCTTATTGATGTGATGTTTAATACCGAACACTTTCCTTTGAACGAGACAAGCACCAGTCGGAATAGAATGATATCGATGTAGGCTCGAAGACACGTTAGCCCCCATTGAACCAAAACTTTTCTTTTCCAAACTATCCCCGAATCTAGATACTAAATCAGTGCCCATTCAACCTGTAGTAGAAAATCCGTAGTAATTTCTTTCCATAGTGCCGAAACGGAACCCAGAAGATCTTTAACAGCATAGACGTCGATCCCAGTCCTAGCACTGTCCTCGTTTTTGTCCACCATCTCTTTAGGATCCTTGTTGGCCTTGATTTGCTGGCGCACTTCCCGAAGCATTGTGTTGCCCTTCGTTTAGATGCTCTTTAGCATCATGTGAAAACTCGCACTGATTCTTTGATCGTTGAGTATGACTTCGTCTCATCTCATCTTTGATCTCCTGCTAGCTAGGCTGTAGCTTGTGCGCTTTATCACCACTTGTTCTCATATTATCCTATTGCCTTTCTATCCTGTGTTCCGTATGTAAATCGAGGGGCCTCAAGCTGAGCAGTCGAGTGTCTAGATTAAGAAGACGTAATGGAGATATGATAATTTGCAATCTCCACGGAACGGGAAGTTTTAGCCTTAGCTCTAACCCAGTAAGCTGACCGTCGGTTCAGGCCAACTTCCCCAGAGAAGGGGCCTGTCCCCTAGGCGAGCGCTGACAGGAGCCAAAATCTTGAGCTTCCGTCGCTTTTCATCGACCTCAGCCACATACACGTAACCCATAACGTTGGAATCGCGGATAGTGTCTGCTGAGTCGTGGACTGATGCGCAGATAACTGATAGGACGCAGTTTTGTATCATAAGTGACGGCTCGATCTTCTCAAGCATCGTGTCGCTATATATGTCGTCTTCCAATGTCGCCGAGGCAGATGCTATTTCTCTATCAGTATAATCACCCTTAAGGTAAACCATGGGGAATGAATATATACCTTGATTAACTTTCCAGATCGACAAGGCCGAGAAGTCAACTTGCTGCGTAAATGGACTTAGCGTGATATTCGTATCACCAAAGAAGTACTCCTTAATAGCTGCTTCGTGAACTTGTTGTAGGAATCCGGCATCTCTTTCCACAACGCCACCAGATTTATCTAGGCTAACAACGGTGATTGGTTCATCTAGACTGGTCTTCTGGCCAGCAAATTTCTTCTGCATCTCGCTGCTGATACGTTCTGAACCTATCACGAGCACAATATTGACAGAGAACTCAGCGACTATATGTGCTATATGATCATAGCCTCCCTTAGAAACATTGACCCCACCGGTGTCAATCAGTAGTCCTGCTGTTTTTACATCGGGATCCTCAGTAAGTCGCGAGGTCGCTGTTACAGCTAGTCTACTCAATAACCTCTTATAAAGCCGCATGTTTTCCTCAGGTTGTCCTAATCCGTAATTGTATACCAACGGCAATTTCACCGGTACAGCACTTGGCCCGCTACTCGGTGTGTTTCCCCAGTCCGTTGTGATGTCAATAATAGTCGAAAATACAGCTGCGCTCAGCGATCCCGGCAGAGCAAGCATGCCCTCGCGACAATCTGTATTCACCACGAGGGGCTGGCGGCCCATGCGCGTTGCCCATCCCGTAAGCATCTTCACTAAACTTGTCTTGCCCGAATTTGGCGGTCCCATAACAAGTATTCGCGGCCCCATTTGTCTTGTCTTATCTGCAGCTGTGCGAAGCGCCTCAAGTTTGAAGTGCAGATTTAGGTAGCTAACCATGGGGGTCTCTTCTGCTGTCGGCTCTGAAGTGTAGGCGTCATAGTTACCAGTGGGAGAGGAAATTTCGAGTGTACATCCATGCCAAGTATTTATTTTGGACTTCATCGCGGTGAAAGTATAGGTTGTATTTGGGGCAAGTTCGGTGCCATCTTTCTCTGCAGTACCAGAGATTAACTTTATGTCTAGAGTCGAGCCGTGGGGAACCTCGAAGCGATACTCCCAGAAAGGTTCGAGAATCTCTGTTGTAGTCGGTGCTGTGGCGGAGGAAGATGTTATAACCGGTGCTGCCTGTTGAATATTTTGAATATTAGCTAATTGTTCGAAATGACCTGGATTGGAACGGCTTACGGCTGACGGTATCTCTCCTAGTCCTGGTATTGACATGCTTGCGTTGGCTTATTGGTAAACTGAGATAGCTTAAGGAAGAGAAATCGGTATTAGATGGAAGGTCGAGGGTTGGAAGCACAACATCAAAAGCTCAAAGCTAAAAGCTAATAGGTATTACGTACCGAGCTACAAAGTACGGAATAGGTACTTAACCATAGGTACCTACTGTGCCGAACTTTAAAATATAGTGGGCCTTCTAGCTTCTTTCTTCCTTGCAGTTTCCTTAAGAGGGGCATCTGCACGTTACCTACCTCCTATGCAGGTACTTGACAGACTAACAGATAAAGTCGGAGTGGGGTAAATCACTTAGACCAATGAATTAACACTACCACCTATTATCTAATTCAAACCTCCAACATTCCCAAATTCCCATTCAGCTGTTCCTTTTTAATTAGATTAGGTAGGTGCCTATATGAATATTGAATGGAGGGAACAAATGGAATTCACAATATAACATGTACTTAGGTAAGTACTAAGGTTATGTAGGTGAGGATAAGGTACCTGGAGCGGTATAAGTATATGTAGTTCTGTCTTCTCGCCTCTTTAAGTACCTTATAAAAGGCAACATCTGACTCTACTATCAATAAGAAAGACTTGAATTTCATCGCAAATCGTGAGTGAATCCCTAGTAGTGGCACTCTATCTACAAATAACTGGAGTATTGTAATGGGTATCTTGAGGCAAAACTCCAGATATCCCCCCTCGAGACGCCAGGTGGACCCTTTCTATTTCATTCATTCGTCCATACAATGCCTGAATGAAATATGCTAATGCTGAATGATGCTTTTGGGTCATCTATGCAATCCTCTCTATTCTTCCTCCAAATTCACAACTCATCTAAGTGTCACTCCGACATCTCCTCGAAGATATCTGCGAGACTCCTGACTCCAAGTAGCACATTTTCGTCCGGCCCCTGACCAGGCTTCCATGTTGCATGCGCAAAGTCAATCAACTTTAAGGTATATATGCGCGGAAAGCTTGACTCCTCGTCCGAATCGTCCTCTAGCTCATCAAAGTCTTCCGCTATATCGGGTTCGCATAATAGGTCCTCCTCCGTTATACCGATACCACTATCCACCCTAAGGTTAGCGACTGGAACTCGTGAGGTGCCTCTTTTGTGTTCTGGTATAGCGGCAGTAGTTTTTGCCTCTTCGATGGCCTCTCGTAGAGCTGCACCGTCGCCTTCAAATACGAAGAGCAGACTAGAAGAGTACATTCGAGTCTCCTCTTTCTCGAGCACTTCTTGCACTCTTCGAAGGTCCTGGGCGAATAGGCCGGCAATGATCTTGCCGAGATCTTGGTCAATGCCGGCGGCCTCATTGAATATGTACTTCTTGAACGAGTCTACTATGTTGCCATCGTTCACCGTAAGTCTCCCCCAGTCTTTGTCATAAATCTTGAATCCTTCCTCATCCAACTCCGATTCGTCCGTAGATCCCTTATAAACTCTCATTCCCGCAACGCGAAAGCCGAATCTCTTGTGAGTGGTTTCCTCAGCGATCTTATTAAATCTCTCCTTCTTTTCTAAAGGTGCGTCGTCAGCCCATAGCCGAATTCCTAACTTGGCGTCCATTATATTTGGCTTTTTATACCCGTAGGAAGCATTTTCTAATACCACCGCCCGGTCCGTCGTAATCTTCCTCGTCTTGTTAGGAACCCATTTAATATTCTCAGGCATAATTTGATTTTGTACAGGCGCTTCGAGTATAGGTGTTCGATCATCAAGGTGTAAATGTGACTGGATTTCTTCCTTGACAGAGAAAGGGATGTCGGCATGCTCAACAAGGTTTGGTATTTGCGCATGTATGGAAGCCTCGTCAGTTCCTTCATTTAGTGATAGAGTGCCTATGTACATAGGCATAAACTCTGCGAAATCTGGATGGAGGGCGTGTGCCGATTCGTAGAATTCGACTTCGGACTTTGTACATGGCTTGATGAATAGTTCGCCGTCTGCGTCGCACATGGTTCCAGCACTGCCAGCACAACTAGATTAGCAAAAAAAAGAATAGCTAGATGAGAAACTAGTGCAATACTGACTGTCCAGCGACAGCGTAATTATAATCTTTCAAGTCGTGTCTCTTTGGAATTTCCCGCTCTCTACTTCCGGCACTCTTGCCGTTGTCTCGCACAATTTGCATCTTCCTAAGATATAGCGGTCGCGGCGTTGATGATGGTCAATGGCCGGTCTATTCGTCCCGCATACTCTAGTTTGCGACGGATCAGGATGTTTGGTAGGGCTAGAGGTTAGGTAGTGAAAGAACCAGTAATGAAGCTGGAAGTGGGTTTGATTGGTTGGCAGGCTGCAGTTGAATTGATCAGGTTCAACGAACACCTGACTGATAAATTCTAATGGAAAAGGGGGAGTGGATGTTCTGAAATTTTTGAATGTTCTTGCATGAAGGTCTGGGTAGTAATTGGGTGAATGTTACATGGTCTCATGAGTTTCAAAAGTAGGTATGTTGCTAGAAATGTAGTGATTCACGGGGTTGCTAAAAGTAAGAGATTCGGGAAGGTTAATATCAATGTGGGACAAGGCGATACAAAGGAGCCAGAAGGGATGATCTGAGCGCGAGAGTTGCCATAATTGGAAAATTTAAGGGTCCCGCCGAGGTCGAAAAGCCGACACGGCAGCCACGGGTCTGCTGAAATATCAAGTCCACGCCCGCCGCCCGCGTACGTCAGCTACATGTAGTATTGAATCTACCGCGTATCGAACCAGAATTAATAGGTAAATCTCGATTAGTACCTTCTACGATATCAATTATAGGTGTGCAGGTATCCACCCCAGCACTTAATGTACGTACGTGCATAGGTACACGCACCTAATGTAGGTACCTTAGCGGGAAATATAGGGACCTTATAAGGCTTGCGCAGGCCTTATATTTCAGGCAACCCCTGCTGGGTTTAAAACCCTGTGATAGGCTATAAGCCTGGTGCGAGGCATCTAAGCCTTGCAGATCAAATAAGCCTTGTAAGCAGTCCACTATAAGTGCCCTGTAAATTATCCCCTAGAGCCACTGTAAATAATCCACTAGATCAACTAGAAATAGATGCCTGAACCGCCTGTATAGCCTGTAATTCAATTGCGGATGTACGCATACGAGTATAGCCGCAACAATACGTACGGTCGCAAAAGGATAAAAAATACAGGGCTGGCTATTATACTGATACCTTGTTCCTCTTACTATTTGAGGCTATTTACAGGTATCTATCTAATGCGAAAGACATGTCAGTTTACTGGGTTGAATGTGAGATTACGAATTACTACTATTACGTGGGTACTATACCACTTGACTACGAAGGCAATTGATTACAAGTCTACGGGATTACGTATTACGCGATAGATTGTATGCTTGCTATTGGGGTATATATCGTGCTTGCCGTGCAGGGTATTCAATTGAATTGTATGGACTCAGGGGAGATCAGGGGATTACAGGCGTTGTTCGCCAGTGAGGGTGGTGATATAGCGATTTTAGGTGGCTTTGGTGGCCTTAGGTGCCTTGGGGCCTTGGATTTAATGGCCTTAGGTGGTTATAGTGGCCTCAGGCATTAATATCACTAAAACCTGCTGTAATGAAATAACAGTGGTTACAGGGGAAAATAATGCTGGAATGCCCTGTATTCCAGTCCGATGTATCCCTCCACTAAATTTGTATGGGACTATACATCCACTTATAAGCCTTGCAGGAAAACTAACCCTTGCAGGATTGCTAACCCTTGCACAAGGCTTGTCACTGTAGTTAGGCCTGTACAAGGCATGCGCAAGGCTTATAAGTTCCCTATAATTCCCGCTAAGGTATGCAGTGCTCAACTTTAAGCTGGACCGCCCTGCCGCCGCAACAAGAGGGAATTGTTAATAGGGCATATGGACATCCATGGATGGGAATTGTGTTGCACCATCGCGAAACAAGGCTTACCTTAACCCCCATAGCAAAACGCCCCTTTAACCGCAGCATGCAGATGCAGGATAACAAACAAGGTATATGCAAGCTGTACAGGTTTAGGTGATGGCAATGAGCTAAATCCCAACCAGTTCCAACCAGTAATAGCGCTAATGCTCAGCTTTGCCCGACTATGAGATATGTACATAGAAGACGGATGGCACGGCATTCCCGCCCTTTTTTTTTGGTGGCGGACTGCAGCAGGGTATGCAAATTTACTACGTTTACCTACTGGCCGTAAATTTGTAGAATCATACGGGCTCAGCCACATATCGCATGAATTATATCGACAAATCTGCCTTGAAAGTTTATTTGCTGCATCATTTGACTCATTCCAAGCGGCAGGACAGTTTTGACCAACCTCTATACAGGTAGCTGCAGGTAGTAGATCACTTGCGTCGTTGTTGGTGGTTGGTGTATCCCATGCCCTATATCTTCGTCGTCGGAGACATCATAGAGTAGGATTGGGCAGTGTTGATCTAATTTAATAGGGGTAGTTTATTCCAAAATCGCCGAATAGATCTGTCAACTTCCAGTACCTATTCTCCCCTTGCATCCTACATGTAAGACGGCCTCCTGCAGGAAATCTGCATTATAGAGATTCGTACCTTCAGGCCTTTTAGCTATAAATGGGAGGGGCTTCTGAGGTATTTCGGGACGATGCATCTTTTTTGTATAAGTGCCTCAAGGCCGATTGAATATATCTGTCTCGGATAGACGGTACTTAGGTAGGTAGATATTATTGAACTGACAAACAATATGCGTTTGCTCATACTGCCAATATATTACTCCATAAGTTGTTTGTTTGTTGCTGTTGTAAGGCGCTGAAGCCGGTGTAGGTGTTACTTCAAGCATGACTGATCGCATCTCGCATCTCGCATCTCCTTTAAAGACTACCTGCCAGTCATTGTGATCAGATATGGTAATTTTTAGCTGTTCTTAGGTATTCTTATCTAAATCGAGGTGATATGTAAGAAATCTGCTGAAGTCATCGTTACCCTAGGTCAGCAGGTCAAACCTCAGCCCTGTGCTGAACTATTTTCCTCATAAGGGTCCTGCCTAAGACGCCAGCAACTAAATTATTAGGTTCTTGCTTAGAAGTATCATCTCTTGTAACCCTCAGGGTAGGAAAGAGCAATTCTCATAATTCAGCTTCGTTGGCAGGCACGCTAGGTACTCTCTTCTATTACACCTGCTGCACTTGCCTTACACTAGCCCTGCATCTTATGCATCTCAGCCTCATGTCACTGCATTGTCACTGCCCCGTTTCTCGTACTTTTCCAGAACATCGGATTTAACTTCGAGTACCAACACGAATTCGGCTACGGCTCATCGCTATTGACGACATAATACGACAGATCTGCCTAGTCATTCGCCTATCGAATCAGCTGAAGGAGTCGTAACGATGTGCGACCTACCCCCGCATACTAACGATACCAACATGGCCACGTCCCTATGCGAACCAACTAGCGGTCAGTCTGACGCGCACAGTGACAAGGAAACAACCTCTGCGGTGGATATCGCAAGCTCATCGCCTAACTCTGAGCCCAGTGAGCCGGGCAGTGACCAAAAAGCTACCAATGACACTCCCACTACCGAAGGTGATGCAGACTCCACCAACGTAGAAGAGGCTTCCGATGTTATTGATGGAGGGGTTCAGCTTGGTATTGAATCCGAGGAAAAGAAAAAGAAGAAGAAGAAGAGGCCTAAGAAGAAAGGTGCTGCCGCTCGAAAAAATGTTACAGGCTTCGAAGGTTGGTTCTATGCGTGGTCATGCAGGGCGAAGTCTCGTCTAACATTTGGTCTAGAATTCTATGCCGATACTCCCATAACCCCGGCCGAAGCTGCCAAGGAGAAGAAAGAAATCTATAACGCGTAAGTGTCCATATCCTGCCTCGAAACGGATAATGCTAACGTTACCGTAGATCGCGTTCCTTCTCTGAGTATGATTCACGAATGTTACTTAGCCACATGGAACGTTAATGATTAACCAATAACAGCCGTATCGAAGAATGCATCCAGAGGTACCGAGCTAGCCGCCGAATGGATAGCGAACGTCTTATGCTCTTCAACAAGTATTTGTGGCTCGGGGGCATCGACTCATCTCCACGCCAGTTCACTGGCTTTGCCGAGGACCGCGATGCTCTTGCCGAGGCAGACGCCGATGAGATTCGCCAGATGACGGCAACTGACTTTATCGGCGGTAGTGGTACCCGTTTCTACGATCCCCTGGAGCCTGAGCATTGGTTCGTTGACTTCGAGGGCATCGTGAAATGTTTCCTGTGAGTTATATGGGTGAAATTAGATTCGAAACAACCATGTAGCTAACAGCAGTATCAGATCCAGAATCGTCCCAACCATCTACATGTACGATGAGGCAGCTAATCTCCAAGCTGCGAGCATCATCAAGAATTTCCTCAACTATGTTCTAATGCACGACGTTTGCCCCGAATACACATTCGATATCATGGCCGCTAGAAGAATTTGTGACGCTGGCCCTTATGAATTACGCATGGTGCACGAGCTTATTCTTTCACTCCCGGGTGCCTTCAATACTGCCGCGCACTCGCTTTTTTGCGACCGACAGGTAGATAAGTATGATGTGCCTGATCACTACGATAAGTTGATTGCATTCCGCGTTACAGTCTTCTCGTCAGCACTTGACCAGAAAATCAAGAAACGACTTATCGACTCCGACCCTACTACTATTCGTGTTGTTAACACAAAGGAGGAGACTTACGAAGTAGTGGATATAATCCTGCCGCGCCAGCGAGACATCGTGATGGTAAAGGAACAGCTAGAGGAAGCGGGCCACTCCGGCAAGGGAAAGCCAGCTGGCATTCTTGTTCTAAAGCCTTCTGTCATCGACTTCGGCTTCAATAACTTACCTCGTCCGGATCAAGTCGACTTTAGTAGCGCAGAGTCAGAAGACTACTTGCTTGAAGACGATTTACTTGACAAGTTTGACAAGGGAATGAAGATCAAGGCTATTGTATGCGAGCTCAACATTGGTGTTCGCTTCATCAAGGCGGTCAAGGACGTCCTCGTCTCTTTTGACCTGTTCTTACCTCAGATCTTGATGGAGAACTGGAAGGACCCTGCTCCTAGCACGCGCCCACCTCCCTCAGCCTCTAACCCAAATGCTGAGGAAAAAGCCGTAGTTGATGATGACTATTGATACGAGATCGTGATACCGGGCTCAATGAAATAGTCGAAGAAGCCAAGTGCGCATAAGAAACCGGACAAAGGCTTGAAGAGAGTCTTATGTGGGCTCGGATTAAGGAGCTATTTGGAGACGTTTTTCATCGTGGTACATAGGGCGGACTGAAAGCCTAGACTATGAAGGCTGTTTCTGATGTACTATTTGCTAGGGATACCCCTTAGACTGACAGCCGCAAGGCGAACGAATTGCAATGAATTTATGAACTGAGATCTCAGCCTTGACTTGAAATTGTTAGCCCGCAAGGCCCGCATATTGCTTTGATAGACTTTTGCCCCGAAAGCAAACGTGGAGGTATTCAAAAGTCCTAGATCTCGATGGTGCACAAGCTCTTGGCGCCGTTGCTTCTAACGCACAACGGCGTATCGTGGCATTGGAAATTTAGGCCGCCGTGTCTCTTGGCGCGAGTCCGCGCCGCACAGCTTGCCTGAAAAGACCGGGATGTATTTCTTGGCCCTTTCTTCGCCGGCTGGGCGTATTATCCTCCGCGTCGCCCTAATATATGCGCGCTCTGCTGTGTGGTAGCCTCTTTCCTACTCTACCGTGGGGTCTTCGTAGCTTGCCTATATTAATAATAAGTGTTCAACAGGACTACCCTGCCGACTCATTTACTGGCGAGTGGCCTATCTTATAAGTAGGCTGGTAGGGCTACGAATCAGGGTATTCCGTAGTTACATAGGAGAAATATCGACCCCGGACGGAGCAATTTAGGGGACGAGATCTAGAGGCAGCAACCCACCCAAGACCTTGGCAGATTTGGCAGAGGTCATTTCGAAAAGCATATCCGCCTGGTATTGGTCTGGCGAGTTTCTCGGCATGGACCGAAAGAATGGAGCGAGTCGTTTTTGCTTCAGAAGTCGAGAAGCATCTTCTCCCCACGATTTCTTCCTGTCGATCTTTTCTCTCTTTAATTCCCTTTACGATCATCTTCCCGCCCTCGTTTATCAATACGTTTCTCTTTTTCTCTATCCGAGCTCTTAATTAACTATTAATAACCGGCAGCTGCTTTGCTGGCGCTGCTTCGAGTTCCGCTATTCTTAAAAGCGCGCTTATACTGCGAAGGCCCTGCTGCTCAGAGGGGGCTTACCCGGTATTCGCGATGGGGACCCAACGACGAATTGTCCAGCCAGTAAGCAGTCGGCAGTGGCAGATTGCCAAAATTGTGCTGCAGTCTACTTCGCTCGTATTTTGCGTTGTAGTGATTGGGATCAGTGTTGGAAAGACGTGGGAAGGCGATTACGGCGTGGGAATACTGACGGTACCTGTCACCGCTGCGACGGCGGCCTGGACGATCGCCGAGTTGGTGACTCTTTTTATCCGGCAGCGGAGGGGCTCGCCAGGTCGTGGAATTCACCCCGGCGCCCACGTCGGCGTGCAGCTTATCATATTCCTAGCGATGATCTACGTGCTGTTCTATTCGTGTGTGCTGTGGAGGAGTGTCCAGAACAGCATTATACGGTGCAACGAATGGGAACGTGATCCTAACGATCCGGACTGGGTCATCGAAAATAGGTACTCTGAAATCGGCTGGCGTGCCAATTCTGTCTACATAACGTCGTTTTACTGCCCGGAGAGGAACCGCATTCTCGTGAATGACAAGTCGTTCCAGTCAGCCGTACAGGCTCTTATCGCGTTCTGTGTTCTATTATGGTAAGTTTTTCTATCACACGGTGTTTTTAGTGTGAGATGCCTAACGAATGAGCAGGGCTATACACTTCAGTCTTTTCGTTCGGGCATGCGTCGAAACGCAACGACGAAATAGGATCCGTCCTGCTGCAGTGGTATACCCGCAGCCGGTATGGCCGCCAATGCAGTACGGTGTTAACTACCCCCCTGACAGCTACCCCCAAAGAGGACCGGGGCCGGCGCCGATGAAGTCTTCATATTATAGATAAAGTCGCTTATATAATTGGATGCTTTAAGCATTAAATTATCTTCTTATTGAGACCATAGTAATGCGGAATGATAAGGATGTTACTAAAGTCTAAGTTTAAAACGGAGCTGTGAGCAAGTGGCTATGGTTTTTAATACCTTGGGGGTTTATGCTGTTATGATCTAAGTAGGTAGGTAGGTAGGTACTCGATATCTGTCTTCGGAGTTTGGGGGAGTGACATGATGCTATCAAATTCTTCACGATAAAGACATACCCATGATAGCACAGTAGTGTTAGGTATTTGATACTGGCGGTATCACAAGTTTAATATGATTTAATTAACTGCACCAAGTGAATCCCTCCAGTTGATTACTGATTTCACTAATATCAATACACGGTGAATTAAGTGTTATTGATAGAGTTAAGACCTTAATATTGCTTTTGAATATTAAAGTATTTAACCTAGTCTTTTATCATAGGTATGCATTTTGGTAGCAATAGGTACCTGACTTGTTCTGTCTTACATAATGTAACTAACTCATAGATATTAGCTTAAGTAAGCTAAGACATCTGATAGAGAATCAGCTGCTTTTCGTCATGGCGGGGGCGGGGCTGAGAGTGTCGACCGACTTGCGCCAGCCGCATCGCTGCCACAAGTCTCGTAACACTACATATACGGCTTTTGCTTTACACAGCATACGGCATCTGCTGATAATGTACTAGTCTAATTAGTAGTTCCTCAATATTTTAACATATTACATACCTATTACATATTACAACTCCGTAGGATCGATTATATCCAGGTATCTTGATTCTTTGGAACTACGGACCCCCGTCAAGATGGTAATGCCCTACGAACCGAATTACTCTCAAAGTTTTGATATACTAAATACTAAATACTAAACAGAGCTCCGAGGCAAGACTCTACACCTTCTCCCAGGAGACCAAAGACCACCTACGCAAGTTTCGCTTAACTACGTCAAGAGCCAGCGGGCCGCAAGCTGTCATCTGTATGTATGTCTATCTCTATATCCATCTCGCTCTAGCGTATTTCGTATTTCGAGTATAGCTAATATAATGCGCATCTAAACAGATTATATCGACAAGAAGACGTATGAGATTAAGCAAGATGAAGACAAGGTAGTATACAAGTCTCTCGACGAAATTGCCGACGACCTGCCTGATAATTCGCCGCGCTATATTCTTCTAAGCTACCCTTTGACTCTGGTATACCCGCCCATCCCTTGCCATCCCTTGTTGCGAGCAATTGCATGGCTCAAGATTTGCTAACTACTGCTGCAGCCATCCGGCCGCCTGTCTGTGCCCTACGCCCTCTTGTATTACCTACCGAATACGTGTAATGCCGAAAGTCGTATGATGTATGCCGGCGCGAAGGAGTTGATGAGGAATACGGCCGAGGTCGGCAAAGTGTTTGATGTGGAGAGCCCAGAGGATTTACAAGATATCCCTGATAAGTTGAACACTGAATAAGCTATCTCTAGCCTAGCGAGCGAGAACTATTCAGACAGGTATTTAACCTAGAGATTTCTCTATACCAATTACAGCGAGAGGGTATCTTTGTCTGGTACTTGAATTCTTTTCAGTCGTCGGGTAATATATGTTGTGCGTCGAGGCCTATCTCGCGGGCAACGCCTTTAACGACACCCTTAAGTGCTTTACATGCTGGACTATCAGGGTAATGGTCGAAGAAGCTCTCCCCGTAGTCGCATGCCATCCCTATCCTTGGGTCAAGTGGTACCTCGCCTAAGAACGGGATATCCATTTCCTTTGCTAAAGCCGCACCACCCCCAGTAGTAGCCTTAAAGATTTGGCTCTCGTGTGTGCAATTTGGACACACAAAACCGCTCATGTTCTCTACTAGACCTAGCACTCTTATTCCTGCTTTCCTGCAGAAGTCGATTTCTTTTCTTACATCGAGAAGTGCTACTTCTTGCGGCGTTGTAACCATAACGGCACCGTCAATCCCGCTCTCTTTCAAAAAGCTGTTTACGCTGAGATGCTCATCGCTTGTCCCCGGAGGTGTATCGACTAGTAAAAAGTCCATGTTTCCCCATTCTACTTCTTTTAAGAATTGCTTGATTAAACCATTCTTCTTTGGGCCACGCCAGATTATTGCGTCGTCGCGATTTGGTAACATAAACTGGATGCTCATGACGCCAAGATTGTCGCCAACCCAGACGGGCGACCAGCCCGTGTTACTAATATGTATTGTCTCAGACTCCACGCCCATCATTTTGGGTATGCTGGGTCCACAGATATCGGTATCCATGATACCAATAGTCATGTCTTCGTTCGTTGCGAATGCGTGAGCGAGGAGACTTGTGAATGTGCTTTTGCCCACGCCACCCTTGCCGGATAGGACGAGGATCTTGTGCTTGACTCCCGATAACCGTTCTGAAATCAACGGTATGTCCGGATCTGGACCCTTGGGTGCCGATGCGCATATCGCCTGGTTCGGGCAGCCAGCACACGAGTCGGCCTTGCCGGCTTGTTCGGATTCAGGACCTGGGCAGTGCTCGGGCTCGGGGGCGACAAGTTGGGGACGTGCCTTAAGCGGGTTGTCGAGGACGTCCTGAACGGCTTCGGGCTCTTCAAAAGAAGGCGCCATTGTTACGGTAAAAGGCAATGTTAAATGTTAACGGGTTGGAATAGAGACAACCATATATATATCTGGAGAATATCAGTGGTAGTTATTTCTATTCGGAAGGAATCTATTCGGAAGGAAGTCTGGTGTATTAAATTAGGTAAGTGGCCAATTAGTATGAGGCTATGCTTAGAAATCTAGGAGAAATAATAGGCAGATAGGCACATGCAAATGTAAGATCAAAAGTGTTATCGATACTACTACGTATCGCTCTTTGCCCGACTTTTAGGAGGGATATTGTGTTGGGCTGAGACCTCCTTCCTAATTAGGCAATTCGTCTGTGCACACTTGAACCCAGGCTTCTCATTGGCTGGAGGATTGGCACTAGTAGGAGACTAAGGATTTAGTAGGTTAAGATTATGCAGCTAGTGTTTTAGTGCGAAAGATAAGATAAGGGAGTGAACTAAATCACATGATCTTAAAGCCAGGACAGCGTATAACATACTCTCTCTTATACACATTTAAATAACTTTACAATAATAGCAATTCAAACATTAAAATTGGTATCATTCAATAGCCCTAATTGATGCGAAAACAATGATACAAGTTGCATATAAACAGGCCTCTTCGTTGTTGTGTTATAGTAGAATCATACATTAGCGTCAGTATATAAGATCTTATGACCGTATTGATACCGTATATTCACGGTATAATTGTCTGAATAGTTGCGCATCTCAGTACGAAAGAAGCACGGTAGCCACATCTACCAACAGTATTGGTATCAAATGGTATTTTCGCGATTGAACGGTTGGTGGATCGAATGGTTTTTCCCTTGCGAATGGTTTTTCCCTTACGAATGGTTTTTTTTTGACCAACGGTTTTTTTTGGGAACCAACGGTCTTTTTGCGGTCCTAGTACGGTTGGGGGAAGGTGCAGTACATTAGGTAGGTAGGTAGGTAAGTAAAAAAAAAACTTACTTACATATACTACTATACGTACTTGCCTCAATACAAGTATACTATACAGCAGTAGTCATTAAAGTAGGTAGGTAGGCAGACATTATATTACTTTCGAACGCTTTACGGCTACGGCTACGAGGTTACTATTCAAATAGACTATTACATATTACAGGCGCGTATAACCTGTAACTACTTAGGTATATAAAGGTGGCATTCGCAACTTCCTTACTTGATTATTACACCTTCCCGGACCGTAAAAAAACCATTCGTCAAGAAAAACCATTCGTATAGATATAAACCGTTCGGATAGCCAACCAAAGATATACCATTTAAGCCAATACCGGTTGAAATATCAAAACATCTAGGCATTCAAATAGTATTAGAGCCTCAAACGGTAGATCTACGGTCTGGTCCTTATTTACTGTAAAAGTACGGTACCTAGGACTTATATCCTGACGCTAATGTATAGTAGTATCAAATAGCCCTTGTCTGGAGAGGGAAGCACGTGACACCCTTTACAGGCACTTCTATGAAGTCATTTTAATTAAAAAAAACATAACCTAAAGGCATTTGATTGGCTAAGCTAAAGCTGCAAGCTCCTTGATTGGCTGAGAAAGGGAAAATACTTGGGTACTGAGCTAAAGATGGCCAAGTGAGGTTAGCCCAGGTGAAGATAAGAGACAGCCAAGCCTGAATAAAAGGTTAAGCAATAAGGGGACCACATCACATAACCACACCACATGACACGACCAGGGCTTTACAAGAGGCTAGGTTCGAATCCCACACATCCCCCTTTTTAATTTTTTAAAAGAAGCAGTCAACAAAGGGGAGCTTAAGAGAGCCTAGGATAGCCGGAGCATTGTGTCGCCGCTGCCGGGCCGCGCGAGGGGGGGTGCGAGGCCCGCGTTAGCGGGCCGAGCGCCCCCCCTCGCGCGGCCTGGCAGTGGCGGCACGTGACCCTGGAAAGGGGAGGGGGAGGGGAAGATGAATAAGCGGCTAAATTTCGGAGGGGACGGGGACGGGGACGGGGACAGGGATGACGTAAGATGATGACATAAGCCTTACCTTGAGCCTGGCTAAAAGTCGGGATCTTGCGGTCCCCCTCAGGGGGGGGCCCTCGGTTTCTATGTCACTTGGTGGGGTAAATACGTAGAATAATACAAGTGAGTCTCCGGAATCGCTAACATGCAGATACGCAGCTGGATCCATGCGTAATGACCCACATTAAACCGAGACTGCATAAAGTAGCACCCGAACTAAACCTGATACGGTCTGCGCGGGTCTGCGCGACGTGAAGATGGAAAACATAATCGACAGGGTCCGGTTTAAATCAAACAATTTAACATCAACATCGTCGAACACCCCCTCCTTTCCATGTAGGTATCCATCAGCCTCTGTCCAAACATCGCCGTCCACATCTATAGTATCCGCATTTAATCGGCCTGGCAGCCTGGCTACCATAATTCCTCCAATGAACACAAGATTGAAACCATGGCTTTCCCCGAGCGTGGTCGAGCTCAGCCGAAGCTCGAAGAAACAGCAAACCCCTTCGACGATCGTGAACTTTTACGCTCATTAAATAAGCTGTCCCTTTCCACTTCATCTTCGAACTCGAATTCTACGACGAGACCCTCGGCCTTGCGCATATCTTCCTCTCCAACATCGAATGCGCAATCAAATCATACAGATTCAAGATTGACTTCTATTTCCCCTAGCGCTAGGGCGCCCTCTCGAAGTCCTGTAAACCGGGTTAATTCGAACGGACTCACCTCTCTGTCCCGATCATCAACTCCGACCTTGTTACGGAAGACTTCAATGAATTCTCTACACTCCTCGAACGGGATTGCCCCGAGCCGCGCGCCCTCACGTCGAGGTAGCTCTAATCGCCTTTCACCAAATGGCCCCAGATCACCATTGAACATAGCGGAATTCAGGGAGAAGCCGGCACTTAGTGCCTCCTCTGTGGCAGGGTCGTACATGAAGAAAGAGTTGGAATTGCTTCACGGCGAATCAGCAAGCTACCGTCCAGAGACTATAGTCATTCTGAACGATGCATGCTATGGACATCGGTATTCGAGACCTCGTGCCACCAAGGGCGACTTGAATAGCATTGTCGAACGACCCGAGAGAATCCAAGCGAGTGTACTTGGTGTATCAATGGCATATGTTCGACTCGGAGAGCGGCATTGTGATGGAAAATACCCTATCTACCCCGAACTTGATCCCACCTCGATTCCCACTGTCCCTTTTCATATCCGTAAGACCAACCGCACTCTTCCACTAGATTCAGCAGCAGTGACCAATGTTCATGGCACGAAGTGGATGGAAGAACTGAAGATTATGTGCGAATCGGCCGAAACGAAACTCGCCCTAAACACGAACGAGTTACGTAGACCCGAAATGAATAGGGGATCACATGCAAGTCCTCCCCAGGAGCTTCACAAGGGAGACCTCTACCTATGTCCGGAGTCCTTAAATGCATTCGAAGGTGCCCTCGGGGCCGTTTGCGACGCCGTAGATGGAGTTTTCAATGACTCCCCGTACAAGCGTGCCTTTGTCGCTGTGCGTCCTCCCGGTCATCATTGCTCTGCGTCCCACCCGTCGGGTTTCTGCTGGGTCAACAACGCACATGTGGGTATTATGCATGGGTTCTTGAATCATGGATTGACACATGCGGCAATAATCGACTTTGATTTACACCACGGAGACGGTTCTCAGGCCATCGCTTGGGACCACAACAAGCGTAGCTTTACGGCAACAAAGAATATGTCTGCATGGAAAAGAACATCCATTGGATATTTCAGCCTTCACGATATTAACTCCTATCCTTGTGAGTACGGCGACGATGAGAAGGTTAGGAATGCTAGTGTCTGCGTGGAAAATGCACATGGACAATCTATATGGAACGTTCATCTACAAGAGTGGAAGTCAGACGTAGAGTTCTGGAAGCTATATCAGTCCAAATATTCGATCCTCTTAGAC